AGAGGGGATGACGTGCCCTGAAATTGCTCAACTCTTTGAAGATCGTAACCCAGGGAAATCACTTTGAATTTGACGAGCTTCCATTCTCTCGTATTCTACTTGATTGAACTAGGACCTTATAATCCTTATATCCTGGGCTGGGATTGACGTTCGTTTTACTACCCACGATCTACTTGTAGTTTGAGGCAAAATCTTGATCCCTTAGTAATGAATTCGGAAACTCATCGTCATCGAAAATCGCCATCAATAACATCAAGTTAAACAAGAAAAACAATGCAAAATGGCTAGAATGGGCTAGAGGCTATCGTGACCATAAAAAATTGCTGAGTGACCATAAAAAAAATTTTTAAGGCAACTACCTTTTTTCATATTTTAATATTACTAATTTTATTATAAAAAGAATAAAAATCACCGCGCTAGAGTGATTTGATGGGTTTACAAATTTTTGGAGACGTTGCAAGGCTTGGAGAAAAGCAAGATCCCATCAAGCATCAGGCACGAATGATGTTCGAATGCTGTCATGTTCGATCCATTTGTTGGCCATTCAATCTCTCTTGTCTTGTTTTTTGCAAGCTCGGAAGTTTTCCACAACTGAGCATCTTCGTTTCTCCAATTGAGCGAATTCAACAATAACAAATGCTGGCTTTTCGATTAGTTCTTCTTCCGCCTCCATTTTGTTTAGAAACCCTAAAAATAGATTTTATGATGAGAAAAAGAAGCCAAAAATATAAATCAGAAGTCTAGAGAAAACAAAAAGAAAACATAGTGCGTGGCTTTTGTTTTACTTTCGCACTTACCTTGTAGATGAATTACGCGAGCCTTGCAAACGTCTCCAAAAATTTGTAAGCTCACCAAATCACTCTAGCCTGGTGATTTTCATTCTTTTATAATAAAATTAGCAATATTAAAATATAAAAACAGGGGGTCCTAGTCAAAATAGCGCCATTCAAAACAAAACATGATTCTGATGATGAAATAATTCGCCGGTTTGTCAAAACATGCGCAAGGCACATCCGCGCGAAAATGTGATCGCCGTTAAATTTGCTCAAGGTAAGTGCTATTCGATGCGAAAAAATGTCCTGAATTCAAATTTGAAAGAATTTTTCGAATCCGTCTGACAGATTTTTTTAAATCGAAAAAATCGAAAAAACGACTATTTTTCCATATAAACGCCAAAATTGCCTCTCTTTTACAGGCTGGTTCTCGGCGAAAAGGAAATTTTGCTGAGCTATACCTATACGAGCTATACGAGGTCATATACCAAACTTTATGCTCAAGGATCTTGTGCACATTTTTTTCGCGCCAAAATTGCCTCTCTTTTACAGGCTGGTTCTCGGCGAAAAGGAAATTTTGGTGAGCGTCATATACCAAAATTTATGCTCAAGGATCTTGTGCACATTTTGACACCAAAACGAGATCAATTGGGTGAATTTGTGAAAAGTTGATGTCTTTTGAACGCAAAAGTAGCGTTTTTCAACTTTCTGCGCGCTAAAGCGTGGGTAAACTACCGTAACCATTACAAAAAAACAAAATTGTAAAATAAACAAATGTGTTTTCATTTTCTTCACTTCTGATCAAAACTTTTGCTCTTTTTTTATTGTTTACATAATTTTGTTTCCAACTAATGATTTGTATTTTACAGGTAGAGAAATGCCTCAAATCAACAAGAAACGGAAAACGGGGAAAGAAGCTTATCGCATCAGCATATCAGCAGAAAACGATCGAAAATTTAACAAGGAAAAAATGCGAAAAGTGAGATTGGCCAAGGCTTTCAAGCAACAAATGAAGCGATCAGCTCATGCTCGACAAGCTTTACCTCTTCATATCGCCAACAATATTCGTAAACGATATTTGCAAAGAAATCTGTCTTCGCGGCATGGTTTGGCAATCATATCGCCTATTTCTCCGATTCAAACGTTGGCACTTTTTGCTAAATCTAAAGCGGCGAGGGATGTACACAGAGCATATGGAAAGGTCACAGGAATTTTTCCAAGTGAGTATCGTCTACAAGAGTTGAAGAAGAGCTTTTGGTCTAAGGTTGAATATGTGTTCACTGGAGGGATTATCAAATTAAAGACTGTGCTTCAAGCTGTTCAATTCAGGCCTTCTCGCGTAGAGGACAGTGAAAAGAAAAGGATAGTGCTAATGTGTGACAAAGGAGCTGACACAACAAAGTTGACTTTAATGCTCCCGGACAAGGCTGAAAAACCACAATCCTGCTACAATCAGTTTATTATAGCTGTTTGGTTCGGATATGACAACAACCAAAACTTGCAACAACTTAATATAATTTATGACGAGTTATTGCCATTAGGTTTGCAGATTTTTTTGGGTGAAGATTTAAATTTTTTGGCATCAGCATAGCATATGGCCTTTCAAATGCTTCATCATTTCCATGTGTTTGGTGCGAATTTCGAGCAGATAAGAAGAGAAAAGTACCTGGACAAAAGTATCCTCTCGATCGAAATACCTATTCCAAAAGAACCTTGAGGTCATTGGATGCTTGCCTTGTTGCTCCCGATTCTGACAGTCGAAAAGGAGTTTCTGGAAGACAATGAGTTTCTGGAAGACAATGAATGTTGGGGAAACATGGCAGAAGAGGGCCTAGAATCACTACATTCAATTTTTTGGCAATTATGTAAAAGAATCAAGCGAGGAAATAAAACAGACATTTTACGTCATGCTGCACAAAAACATTCCATCAATGTTCTGCTATTCGATGTAGGCTCTTTGTCTTAAATGTTGTTAAAATTTTATGGTTATTGCCTTGTTTTTATTAGTGCTTATAAGATCATAGATTACTGTTAAATTTAAAATAAAGAGTTAGACGTAAATATCAGCAAAATACAAAAAAGCCAACCAACCTGCAATAGCTAACATCTTTTTCGAAGACATATTTAAACATTTGACCAAACATATCTAAATTTGCACACTTAAACTATAAATACTGTAAAAACATAACCTAATCAAATCTTCATTGTGAATTTAGGCAGAGCTGTTTTTTGACGTGCCTGTTATCGACTGACGCCTTCTACCTGTAAAACACAAATCATTCGTTGAAATCAAAATTATGTAAACGATAAAAAAGGAGCCAAAATTTTGATTGAAGTAAAGAAAAACAAAAAGAATTGAAGAAATTCATAAAAACACATTTGTTTGTTTTAGAATTTTGTTTTTTTAATGGTTACGGTAGTTTACCCACGCTTTAGCGCGCAGAAAGTTGAAAAACGCTACTTTTGCGTTCAAAAGGCATCAACTTTTCACAAATTCACCCAATTGATCTCGTTTTGGTGTCAAAATGTGCACAAGATCCTTGAGCATAAAGTCTGGTATATGACGCTCACCAAAATTTCCTTTTCGCCGAGAACCAGCCTGTAAAAGAGAGGCAATTTTGGCGTTTATATGGAAAAATAGTCGTTTTTTCGATTTTTTTCGATTTAAAAAAAATCTGTCAGACGGATTCGAAAAATTCTTTCAACAACGATAGATCAGAACGACGATTGTTGAGATGAAAAAAGAGAAAGCGTGAAAGAAGCTGAACAAATAATTTCGATATTTTGGATTCATTTAAACCTGTAAGGGAGAAAAAGACGCATTGTGGACATTAGCTGCCGTCTGGTCAAGTTCACCGAGATGTCGAAAGATCTCTTGAATCTGAAGATGCACATACCCTGTACCTGTGTTAGCTACAAAAATATAGGTTTTAGTTTTGCTACACAAGGCCTAGCGATAAAGAAAGGAACTTCCTCGTGTTTATATCGATATACTTAAGGTTGATAAGAACAGGGTAAGATATTGTTGTGTTAGTTATAAAAACATGGCTTTTAGTTTTGCTATACCAGGCATAGCGATAGAGCAATGAATGATCTTCACTATACGGAAACGATCGAGTCAGCTAACTTAACTCAACATTTGGAGTATTTGAAAAAGCGTGCAACTTTCAAGACCCTCCGTTTGGTTAGTTTTCCCTAATATTTTATGGTATAAAATCTGTCTTTTAGAAGGATGTCAATTGGGGCATGTTTGCGAATTGCAAGTTCGAATGCGAAGAATTGTTTTGTTCTGTGCGTGAAACGACTCTTTCGCCGGAAAGATTCATGAAGATTTTTAGCAGTATAAGACCAACACGCAAGCTAGATATTTATGTAAGTTTGTATTGAACGAATCAAAATTAGGCTGATTAAGGCGACAGGGAACAACAAAATTTTTCCTGTCAAATGCGGTTATTGGTATTACTGATTTTGCTTTTTAAATCCCAATCGCAAGTCCATTGTTCGCTTCTAACAACAAATATCACCACTTCCTTGGTTCTCGGAACAAAGAAAAGTCATACAATTTTTCGTGGTTCCGTTCAGAAATTCTCTCTTATCAATTCGAACGCAGTTTTTTATGAAGATCGAGCAGAAAGAGTCGAAATTTTCAGAGCCGCTTGCCCCTTTCAAGAAAGAACCGCTCGCCCCTTTCCAAGAAAGAGCCGCTCGCGCCTTCCAAGAAAGAGCCGCTCGCCCCTTTCAAATGTGCTGATTAGGTGGATTACATGGGATTTGATGAATCACGAAAAATTGTATGACTTTTCTCTGTTCCGAGAACCAAGGAGTGGTGATATTTGTTGTTAGAAACGAATAATGGACTTGCGATTGGAGTTTAAAAAGCAGAAACAGTGATACCAATAAACGCATTTGATTTGACTTTCAGTTTTGTAGAACTTCTTCTTCCCAATTGTTTCCGTTCTTAAAGTCAAAATCAATTCCAAAAAGGCTGTAAGCTTGTTTTAAATTGTTAGTTCAATGCTAATCTGCTGTCAGTCAAAGCAGGGCATTTTTCGAGACATTCGAGCCTTTTTTGCTTTATTTAAAAATTACTTTTGTCATTTTGTATCCGACGGCAGGTAAAGGGTTTAATTCTTTTGTTCTGTTCGTTCTTTTTTATACTCATGGAGGTTTTTCTTTACTACTATTGGTTATTGCATGTAGCATTAAACTTTACATTTCAGAGCAACCATGCTTCTGAGTCTAACTCCGCCAGACCAAAAGCTCATCAAGTATGAGAAAAATGGGCACTTTAGTAAGTTTAAATTTTTGATAAGCGTTTGATAACTAAAAACTAACTGGCTGTGAAAACTAGATTATGAGATAACTGAATAAACAAAGTTTTGCTTGGCAATCGTTGCACAAGTCTAGCTGTAATCTAATAGTAAAAAACTTGAAGAAACAGCCATTTTATAAAAAAAACTAAAATCTTTATACTCCAGATACTTGGGCGTTTGTTACTCATGGTTCACAGCTACCGGCTCAGGCAGTTCGGTTTATGGGGCGTCCGCTCAACCGTGACCCATCGGCGAAAGAAGCTTATGTCGGCTGGTGGTGAGTAGAAAGACCTTTTTTGCTCTGAAAAAATAGTTCCAAGGGTTTCCCCAGATAAAGAATAACTGTTTTAGTGACAAATAAAATTTCAGGTATGCTAACGGTGGTAGAGAGTCCACATTTGGTCACGTCAAAAGATGTGACAACGGTCAAATGGTAGCTTGGTTTCCATGGGGTGACCGGGAATGGTACAGTGACTCCACTGGGGAGTTCCGGGTTCTAGTCAACCAAACGAACGAAACGTATCTGTGGGTGCATCCTGGAGAGGTGCGATCCAATCCCGGCTATGATCTGTGCGTGGCTGATGGCTACTGCCCGGCCATTGTCATGATTTCAGGTTTGCGTTCAAATGGGCCAGACAAATATTCACGTTCACATTTCAGGTGAAGAATGGGCGGGCAAAGCTTCTTTAGATAGGAGAATGGCATGGACGGGTGCTGGGGGCAAAGAGTATTTCCATACTGGATATGCTTTCGACAATTGCTATGTGCTTGTGCGCAAGGATTATTGAATGCGATTAAATTGAAAAGTATTTTTGCGTTTCACTAGTTTTGACCCACATCTTTACTCAAACATTTCATTTTAGTAACTTTTGATGTTTTTGAATTGGTGAGTTAGCCCACGAAATGTCCTTAGAGAATTTCTTAGATTTTGTCAATAATGAATAAAGAGATACCTGCAGCTAATCAAAACTGTTCGCTTGACATTTTCATACTTGAATTGTGCATAAACTTTCTGATAACTGCTAATACAGATGAAACGGTTCTCTGATGGGATAGCTTTTGCAACGGTCTGACACAAATAATAGCACAGAAGCTTCTTAAACTTTGTTCTAACAGACAAACTATGATATTTATTTGTTAAAAATATGCATAACTAAAAGTTGCTTACACTAAAATATTGGACGGTTAATCAGTAAAATTTAATCTTACCTGGTGACCAAAAAAAACTTCTAAAACTTTATGTTTTAAAAAGATAATTTCTTGTGTAACCATAAAATCATAGACTTAGACTAAAGAGACTAAAGTTTTAGACTAAAGAGCGCTTATTTTGATAATAAGAAGAATGATTGATGCCAAATTTACTTTTTTATTTTTATTTTCTAGCTTCTTAACAGATTTATTTAACTTTTCATAAATTTTATTTAGTATTTCCCAATGCCTATCATATTTACTACAAAAAGCAAGTGAAACGATTAGAAAGCATGGTACTTGTAGGTTATCCCTATATACGATTTGTTTGGGCCTCAATTAAGGCTAAGGAGTATTTTTGGGTTTAATCTATTGCATCTTCTGAAGCATCTTTTAAACTATGCTTTAGCATGGCAACATTCTTGTAACTTTATCTCGATCTAGTTCCTCACAAGGGAATGGTCCAAATTTAAGATGAAGGATTGGATTGGCATAGTGATAGAAATGGAACAGCATCACCGAATTGTGTAGTGGTAAATGTACACGCTCTGAAGCTTCCTTTTGCCTTTTGTCCACGGGTTCGGATCCACTTTGCGAAAAGCTTTTTGCTTTCTTTTGTAAAACATTTTTAAATACTTTTTATGGACTTCAAATGTACATTGACAATTATTTTACGTATAGAACACTCTAAAGCAATGGTTTAACAACTCGATCCATCCATTCCGATACATTTGTTCCTTTCTGTGCTTTTTCCACTAGAGCAAATAAATATCTTTTGTAAGTTGTTAAGAAAAAACCAAACGATTGGAAGAATTGGAAACGATACTATGAGCATTACAATAAAAGATTTCTAAAAGGGAACGAGACAAAAAATTAGGGACTACGAAAGGAATTGGTTGAAAGAGCGGGGAATGATGTGAAACGACTTTAACAAATTTTGAAGAGGGTGATGAAGTCTTTGAAGTGGCGGTAGTTGGTTGAGACTGCGACACACAATCAACGATTACTCCTCGGTCACCGTCACGAGGGACCACTTTTTACGTATAGAACACTCTAAAGCAATGGTTTGACAACTCAATCCATCCATTCCGATACATTTGTTCCTTTCTGTGCTTTTTCCACTAGAGCAAGTAAATATCTTTTGTAAGTAATTTGTTTCAATGTTTTTAAGAAAAAATAAAATTTATAGCAAAGAATAATTTCGCAATCATAATGAAACGATTCAAAGAAATGAAAAAAAAACAATAGAATTTTTCGCACTTTTTAGCACACTTGATAAAGGCAATAGAATTACAATTAGCTACTTGACAATTTGATTTTAAACAATAATAAATGAGAGTGTCAAAAGCAGGAGGGCGAACAGGAGATAACGGAGTATCAAGCGTACAAACGGAAATCAATCAAACGGTCTGCACCGAATTGATCGTAAACAAGTAAGAGAAAAATGAAAAGATTATTACGTGTAGAAGTGAATATTGTTGATAATAAAATAGGAATGGATTTCACAAACAGTCGAAAGAAATAGACGTCGAGTGACTGCACTTCTGACATAGTTCCCGGCGGAATATTGTCAATTAGAAATTAGACCTGCTTACTGGGTCGGGCAAAATTTTAAGACAGTCTGCTTCGCTCTTCGATTTTTTACTACCCAAAGCTCCGTCAAGCATGAAACCCAGTTCCCCCGCAAGCCCTTATTCTAAACTTCATTTTGGTACTAAACATGGATAGGTTCTGGTTGGCCATTCTTTAGATGTCGATCATTTTAGATAAAAATTCTTCTAGCCTCGTTAAGCTTATCGAGTCCGGCGAAAGATTGATCAAAAGAATGGCCAACTAGAACCTATCCATGTTTTCTAGCTGCAGATGCCATCGAAAAAGAAATTGACCTACGAAAACTGAGGAGTGCATTCATCTGTTCATATGTATGAAAAAAAAGAATAATATTTGGTTCATTGAACAGTTGTCGATTAGCTTTCAAAATAAGAAAAGGAAACTAGGGGGCACACGGAGTTGAACCATGCCCCCCTCGAACTGCAGCCGAATGCTCTACCACTGAGCTATACCGCCGGGTGTTTGTTTGGATAAGAATTAGGGTCTTGAAACTGGCTGATGTAATCCCCGAACGGTTCCTTTGCACAAGAAGTCCCAAAAAAGCTGAACGAGAATTGCATCAGCCACTCTCTCAAACGGATGACACCTTCAAAATCCCCTTCTTTCATCAAACAAGCACCCGGGGGTATAGCTCAGTGGCAGAGCATTCGGCTGCAGTCCGAGAGGTCCATGGTTCAACTCCGTGTGCCCCCTAATCTTTTATTTTTCTGAGATTTTCAGGCCTTGTCATAGGCTTTTGGGCTTTGGAAAGACGATCCATACGTATCTAGAGTGATTTTAAGCTAAAATCTTTTTTTTTTCAGATTTGCGATCAGAACATTTTTTTGAGTCGAATATCACACCTCAAAATTCACCAGAAAACGGTGTTTCGGATAAGGAGATGTCAATGATTATTGACTTTCTAGAGTTGTTAAAGCTGCTAAGTGCTTAAATTAAGAATTTGAAAAGTTGTCCATGAATTGCAAATGACGGATTATCCTCATCTAACACGATCGGGTCAGCAAAAAACTTTGAGATGAGAAATATTAGAAATAATCCAACGAGAAGTACCATCGTTTTTCCACTACTAAAACTGTTTGTACAAAGTTTTTGCAAAAAAAGTCCTTAGCTAGTAGGCAAAGGATTTACACTTATATCTTACCTCTTTCAAGACACAGCAGAAACTGAAGAAAAGAGAAGAAACTTGGGAAAAGCAACGGAGAATGCATGTCCTTTGCTTGCTGATATACTTTTCGATCAAAAACTCAAAAGCAAAAAAAGTACCAAGAAAAACTCGGCCCTATACAAAGAGAAGATTACACGTTTGCACTTCTTCTATAATCAAATGTCCCAGAAAGTGAGCTGGGTTTTGTAACTGAACGCACTACAACTACAGCACCGCACAATGGCTCCATTGTGCTAACTAGCCCCGATATGATTATTGACTTTCTAGAGTTATGCTTAATTTAAGAATTTGAAGTCCTGTTATGGCATTAAGTAGTTTAGGTTAGGGTTTCAATAGGATTTGTTTCTGTATTGTGATTGATCGCTTGGATTGGTTGAATAAACCAGTATATTCTGTTTTCTTTTCTTTTAAACCCAAAAAAATTAACAGCATGATAGATTAAACAATAAATATGCTTGTCGTTAACATGTTCACGTAGATCAATCGTCATCTAAAATTTACAAAAATCTATAAGCACTTTTGCTGACCGCTTGCCTATGTATTTTGTTAAAAGTTTGCCTTGATCATCATCTTCGAAACCGGTCGTTTTCTTCTCTTCTTTCGCCCAATTCTCTTTGTGAAAGACCAGTCCTTCCAAACAATATTTAAACTGATTAGCGAATTTGAACTCACTGTGCATCACATTATCGTAGGTAAAAACATCACTGGACAATTTAGCTATTAGCACCAAGCTCGAGTCGGGATCCAAATCGAAAATCTAAAAATTAAATCTATGAGTTGACAAAAATCAAGTAGTTTACCTTGCAAATATTAACTTTTTCTTCAAACTCGAGCTCCTTCTCTAGAAAATAGGCAATCATTTGGGGTATAAAGTTTAGAGTCGTTGTTAACTAAAGCATCATGTAAAATATTGAAGTTATGCATTTATACCTTTTGAAGATCTTCCTGCTCGTCAAATGTAAGTTCTCGGAGCTTGAGCCAAAAATAAAGCACGGCGTCACTTTGAGAGCTAAAAATGTGTTAAAATCACATCCACCACAAAACCAACCTTTTACCAGCTGAAAAAGACGTTTCGCTTTCTCAGGAGCATTCGGATCGATTTCCCAATAAAAGCCATCAAATTCATGGACACCCTAAAGAAAATAATGACACTTTGTTATCGCTCTAACCTTTAAAACCTAGGTTGTCAAAATTATTGCGAAATCATACCGGAATTATTGTTTCCATCCAAAAGCTTTGATCATCATGCCGTTCCATATCCAGAAGCTGTAGCAAAGTCGAATACTGAAAACAATACTATGCACCCAATCAAACATTCTGCACCCAATTTTCCCTCCATTTGCAACCAACAGTCTGCGCAATAATAAATTGATAGCTTATAAGAAAAAGCCATATAAATCAATGAGTCATAGAAAAAAAGAGAGAAAAACAATTGCACTTCCTTTATATACGGTTCCCCATAAACATTAACTTTTTTTTGTAGATTGAATATTCTCAAACAAAAGTCTTTATAAGCATGGGTTACTACCGTTCTTTTCTTATTCTGCACATCCTTCTTCTATCATGTTTTCACGATCTTTTTTCTTTATGTTAACTAGCTTTTTGCTCATCCCTTCTATACGAGCTTTTTTTAGAAGGGCTGTTTATAACGATTACGAACCGAGCGGAAATCATGGAAAGCTTTAAGAAAGAGCAACTGAATGTAAGACTTTGTAAGACGCTTTACTATAATTGATTTTAAATGTTGTGGTTTGTGATTTCCAGTAGATTTTTCCTGCAAGTTTTTCTTTAGCACATGCCAACCTCGTCTGTCAGCTTCCTTGAAGAACTTCCCGACGTCGTCTTCTATGCGGTGATGGAGAAACTTCCTGGACGGATCATCGAAAAGTTAGCAGCCTTCCTATTCTAACTTTAATCTTTGCTTTAGTACTGTTCGACAACTCTCAAGGGATTTTTATAGAAAGGTCGAGCTGCGCAGAGCAAGACTTCCTCGTGTTTATATCAAGGTGCTTGATGTTGATGGGAACACGGTAAGGTATTGTGGTGCTAGTTATAATAACAGGTTTTAGTTTCGCTATAGCAGGCCTAGCGATCAAGCAATGAACCACTATGATTATGAAGAAACCATCGACCCAGCTAACTTAATTCAACGTTTGGAGTATTTGAAAGAGCGTGCAACTTTCAAGACCCTCCGTTTGGTTAGTTTTCCCTAATATTTTATGGTACTTAAAATCTTCTTTTAGAACGATGTTAATTGGGACATGTTTGCAAATTGCAAGTTCGAATGCGAAGAATTCTTTTGCTGTGTGCGTGAAACGGCTCTTTCGCCGGAAAGATTCATGGATATTTTTCGCAGTATAAGACCAACACGCAAGCTAGATATTTATGTAAGTTTGTATTGAACGAATCAAAATTAGGCTGATTAAGGCGACTGGGAGCGACAAAATTTTTCCTGTTACGAGTGACTTTTTCACCAATAATTATGCGATTGGATTACAAGAAGTTCGGTTGGAGGGTGACGGAGATGCCATGGTTTATCCATTAAATGACACGGTTTGTTTTGATTTAACTGTCAATGAACAGTTTTTGTTGCGACTTAATATTTATTATTTAGATCTTGGATTCAGCTCCTTCGATTTTTTGCGGTCATTTTCAAACAAGTTGCACTCTTAATGGGATTCAAATGCTCCGAGACTGGTACACTTCACAGCGTCAAATTAATCTAATTATACTTCGAGTAGCTGGTGGGAAAGCGCAACGTCAAAATGTGAGCTTTTTTAACTTTCTTATTTTGCTGAAAATAATTCGGATGCAGTGTTTAAAAACCCGAAAGATTGACTTAACTATTTTGGTCTAAATAGCCTAGATAATCATTGAAAAGCAACTCAAATCAACGGTAGTTTTCCCGATAAAATTGCTCAGTTTTTAGTTCTGGCACAACTTAGATGGATTGCTAGTTAATAAAAGGCTCCTCTACAAGAATTGCAAGGTTGCTCAGCCCGCTTTGGAAAGAGCAAATGGAGACGTCATTAGGCTGGGTTTTTGGAGTAAGGGAATAGGCCATAATGGGTATGTTTTAGCAAGGTTTTTTTCTAACGTATGAAACGCGTTCAATGAAACTATCTATTACAAAATTGTTTTAGTATCTCCATCGTTCGACTAGTGCCCGGCCCGGAAGCTGGCTTATATAGGGACTATGATGACGTAGGATAATGCACAATATTTATTTCCTATTTTGAATTGAAAGCTGTATTTTGTTCTCTATGAATTTGTATATGAAAAATGTATTTTAAAGCTGAAGTTTAGATGTTGTAAATTTTGTCGATTGTGATTGCTATTTCTTGGGGAGTACATAGTACTACTAATGTCACAATTGAAAACTCGTCTCACACTCTAAATAATTCGTTCATGATTTGGTTGTTCTTGATGCTTTGTTTTAATCCGCACTTTTTATTTCAATTTTTTAATAAAAAGTAATGAGTTTATAAAAGTCGTATCAGGTTATGCCACCCGTTAATATTTAAACCGACTTTGGACTAACTAAAATCTAATCTACCTCCCCTGCCACGCGGGCGACCCGGGTTCGTTTCCTGGCCTGCGTGTTGCGATTTGAGTGTACTTTCTGTGTAATTTCTAAGCTTTCAGAACAAAACCAAGTTTTTAGCAGAATACAATTTATGACACAAGCTAACTGGCAAAAATCTAGCGGAAACTTTCTCGCAAAAATCTGAAGAAAGACGAAAAATGCAAAAATATTGCCGGAAAACCGGGTGCGACTACGGGAGCTAATCCACAGATTAGCTTATATTCAATAGCTTTTCGATGGCAGTCATCACAGGTCCACAAAACCTGAAGCCAGGCCTTAACCTGACTTCTGACCTTGCCTAGCCGGCTTAGGGCCCCGTTGAAAAATTCCAAACGTCTTCTAAAACGTAATCTTGTCTCGTTTATGTGTAAGCTTACTGTTCTTTTTGTGGTAATCAAATCTTTACTTTCTCCGGAAAAACGACTGGCTTTGATATTATAAAATAACTCCAAGAGAAGCGGTAGAAGGAGGAGAAATGGTTTGAAGGAATTATGACAATTTTGTCGGCAATCTACGAATCTATTATATTTGAAAGAACAGTGGCTCTCCGTCCGTCTGTACGGGCTTTTTCTCAGCCGTCTTTAGGGCAAAAAAAGACACTAAAGCCACGACAAAGCCGGGAGCCGACCCCGGGTCGCGTGGGCCGTAGCCAAGCGCGTTCCCAACTGCGCTACCTGTGATGACTGCCATCGAAAAGCTATTCACTATAAGCTAAACTGTGGATCAGCTACCGTAGTCGGACCTGGTTTTCCGGCAATATTTTTGTACTTTTTCGCCCCTCCTCTTCTTCAGAATTTGTTAGAAAGTTTCCTCTAGATTTTTGCCGATAAACTTTGTCTATAAAGAAATAATGAGTAAATCGTTTGATTGTGCTTGTTGATTAGAAATGCGTGCTTAGATGCTTTGTGACTTTTGCAAACAATGGATTATCAATCCGCGCATTGATGGATTCAAAATAATCGGAAAAGCCTTGGTTTCGATCAACAAACGAGTAAGCTCTGCCGTATCGCCCTTTCCGGCTATAGATATTTATTATTTATTATTATTACATATTCAGATTATTTACATATATTCTCATTTTCATTGATTCCTCGTGCATTTGGCATAAACGAAAACTCGATTTGCTTTCTTTTTCCACGAGGTCAACAAGAGGGCCCTGAAATTGCTCAAGTCTTTGAAGATCGTAACCTAGGGAAATCACTTTGAATTTGACGAGCTTCCATTCTCTCCGTATTCCCACTGGGAGCGATAATTGTCGAAATAGATAGCCTTTGCTCTCTCCTCCAAATGAATCAGAGTCGTCGTCTTGGCGACTCGACTTTTCTCGTTCTTCACCACGATCCAATAGATCAGCCACGGCGCGATCATCGTGAAATAGGCTGGACCCTGAAGTATCAATGAGTGATTACAGACTCGGCAATTTGCTTTTTAAGCTTTGTACGTTTTTCATCACCAACATCTGAGTCAACTTGATTGAACTTGGATCTTATATCCTGGGCTGGGATGAACGATCGTTTTACTACCCACGATCTACTTGTAGTTTGAGCCAAAATCTTGATCTCTTAGTAATGAATTCGGAAACTCATCGGCATCGAAAATCGCCATCAATAACATCAAGAAAAACAATGCAAAATAGCTAGAATGGGCTAGAGGCTATCGTGACCATAAAAAATTGCCAGGTGACCATAAAAAAAATTTTTAAGGCAACTACCTCTTTTTATATTTTAATATTACTAATTTTATTATAAAAAGAATAAAAATCACCCCGCTAGAGTGATTTGATGGGTTTACAAATTTTTGGAGACGTTGCAAGGCTTGGAGAAAAGCAAGATCTCATCAAACATCAGGCACGAATGATGTTCGAATGCTGTCATGTTCGATCCATTTGTTGGCCATTCAATCTCCCTTGTCTCGTTTTTTGCCAGCTCAAAAGTTTTCCACAATCTGAGCATCTTTGTTTCTCCAATTGAGCGAATTCAACAATAACAAATGCTGGCTTTTCGATTAGTTCTTCTTCCGCCTCCATTTTGTTTAGAAACCCTAAAAATAGATTTTATGATGAGAAAAAGAAAACAAAAACATAAATCAGAAGTCTAAAGAAAACAAAAAAGAAAACATAGTGCGTGACTTTTATTTTACTTTCGCACTTACCTTGTAGATGAATTACGCGAGCCTTGCAACGTCTCCAAAAATTTGTAAACCCACCAAATCACTCTAGCCGGGTGATTTTTATTTTTTTTATAATAAAATTAGCAATATTAAAATATAAAAACAGGGGAACCTAGTCAAAATAGCGCCATTCAAAACAAAACATGATTCTGATAATGAAAATAATTCGCCGGTTTGTCAAAACATGCGCAAGGTGCTGTAAAAGTGCTTTAAAAATAACAAAAGTTACAAGTTGTTATGAGAAGTATAAAAACATTGGAGTCGAAAAATCTAATCACAGTCTTTTTCAATTTGGCGCTGTTTTGAATGAGAGCTGTTTTGAATGGCGCTGTTTTGAATGGGCGCTGTTTTGAATGGGCGCTGTTTTGAATGGGCGCTGTTTTGAATGGCGCTGTTTTGAATGGCGCTATTTTGACTAAGTCCCAAAACAGGTGGTTGCCTGAAAAATTTTTTTATGGTCACCCGACCGCGATTAATACTCCCCCACCCTTTAAAGAAAGAATTATCGCAACTTTTGGGTTATTTATGGAGTTTCCAACTTTCTCACAAGTCAATAGAAGATGTCGGTAAATGAATTTGATTTGTGAATAAAGATAACACTATCATAACAATTGAACTATTACAATTATCTATCGAGTAGACTCACAAAGGCGAAGGCTCCAAAAACGGCACTCCACGGTTGCGCGACAGTTCCCGACACTTGACGATAGATCAGAACGACGATTGTTGAGATGAAGAAAGAGAAAGCGTGAAAGAAGCTGAACAAATAATTTCGATATTTTGGATTCACTTAAACCTGTAAGGGAGAAAAAGACGCATTGTGGACATTAGCTGCCGTCTGGTCAAGTTCACCGAGATGTCGAAAGATCTCTTTAATCTGAAGATGCACATAGCCATGGCTCTTTAAAGAGCTTTTTAAGAGATTCAAGGACAAAAGCCTAGTTACGGAATTTCGGGTCTTTTTGAGGGATGTCTTTGACTTTTGGAGCACATAAAACCGTCTTTTTTTGGCTTCTTATAACTTGTTCGTATTACTAATGCTAAAAATCTGAATACTTTAGTCAATCTTGTTCACCTGTTTTCTCGTTCGTAGCAATGCAACAACAGCATGGAGATGCAAAGTGTGATGACCTCGAAGACGCCGGCTGTCCACGTCTCGACATTCCATCTTGGAGTGGCCGTGAAGCAATAGGCGACCATAGCGTCGGGGATCTTCATCTCTGCCAGTTTCCAATAGAACTCGAGAAATGCGAAAAGAAGCTAAATGGATTTGCTGAAGATTCAGAATTGTTAAAAAAACTAGCCCTAAAAATTGTCCTCTTTAAACTCTACCGTCAAAAATGTCAACGATCGCCGCATTGCCGTCTCTCTGCTGCTCACATAAGTGCCACCGAAAAACGAGATCCATCGACAAATCGTGAGCATCAGATTGAGAGCCGGCAGCGAGAAAACTGTTAGGGTCGGCATCGAGCGGAGATAGAAACAGAGAGTCGCCGAAATTGTCGCCAAACACGGCGGCTGAGTGACAAAGACAAAGAAGAAAACTCCCTGGAATGAGCTTTCATCGATTAGTCCGCAGCCAAAAACGGTCAATATTATTTTGAGAGAAAATCGTATTTAATTGTAGTGCCTAATCAGGACTAAAAGTGTCGACCCGAATCGGATATAACTTGACTAAAAAGTCGTGTCATTGAATTTTCGATCGAACAAAAACATGTGGCTGATTAGATTTGAAATGGTTTCCTTTAGTCGCTCGACAGCACAGACCTGGACAAGCAGACAAGCAGATAGACCTTGTGGAGCTAAGCTTTTTCTGAATGTACGAAGCCAGGAACTGTTTAACAGTCAGCAGTTTACGAAAAAGTTTAAAGAAAATCGTATGCTCGTTGTAAAAAGCGACCTCTCGACAAAGGATGGCAAAACCCTGAAAGAGGTGAATCCCATAGCAGACAATGAGGTGCTCTTTTAGGCCGGTATCGACGAGGATCGATGAGAAAGTTCGTCGACTCGTGGCGAGAGTGCTGGCGATGGAGATAAGCGCGAAAATGAACTGAACGACGAAGACGAGCTTCATCGTGATGCCGACGGTGAACGGTGAGATGTCGGGACAAGTCGATGAATTCATTGGTTCGATCGATACCTTTTCGTGAGAAAGTAATCTCGAGTTCTTGGAGTGAGTTCTTGGCGTGACTTTTTGTTTCTTTTGGGCCAGTGCCCATTTTTATTTCTATTGTGTTTTTGAGTACACGCACTCTCCGGGGAATTCATTGATTGGAATTTCTCTTCCCCAATTAGACACAATTTTTATGCTAAACGTTTAGCATCACAGACAAAAGAATAACAAAAGAATGAAGCTATTTGTAGGAACTATCTATTGGAACTCTACCCTTCCAAATTTTCTGTATTATTTCACAGACTCTAACTTAATGATTTAAAAGTAATATCTCAGAAAGACCGATGTGAAATCGAAAAGAACGTATTTCTAATTTCAAATTTCGGTTTTAAAAACGATTTGAATAGATAGCCAGACGTTAAATACATCAGAATCAGCGAAAATTCCGATAGAATTTCTTCTCAGGGTCGTCTTATAGGCCCAACCACAAACGGTAACCCCGCTGGGGGTGAACTTCTATTACAAGTAATACGGTAAATAGTTTCTGTTAGTCGTATTCATATTGGATCTACATCTCTGACAATTAGAGCTCCTCTTTCAGATGATTATTTTGATAATCAGCCCAAAGGAGAGTGCATTCATTCACTTGCACTTGTTGCAGACTCTTCTGAAAGCTTTGCAGTGAATCGAAAAACGATCCGACGACTTGTCGCATTGGAACACCAACGACCAACTCGAGAAAAGATGAACATTTCCTTATTCTTTAGTTTGGATTCGATTTTCTTTCTTTATCCCTTTCTTTTCTTTTCTATCTCTTGATTTCTTCAATATCTAAAGTATAAGCACAGAGCCAGACGTTAAATACATCAGAATCAGCGAAAACTCCGATAGAACTTGTTCCCAGGGTCGTCTTATAGGCCCAAGCACAAAGGATAGCCCCGCTGGGGGTGGACTTGTGAAAAGAGACGATGAGCTCTCAATAATCTGTGAACTTTGTGAAGTCCAGAAGTGTAAACATACAATCAGCTACTCAAAAAGTCAGTAGGCTTGTCTACTATAGGGAAACACGGATGAGTGACGAAGAAGAAGAAGAAAATTCCCTGGAATGAGCTTTCATCGATTAGTCCTCAGCCAAAATCGGTCACTATTAGTTTGAGCTAAAATCGTATTTCATTTTCGTAGCTAATCACAAACTAAAAGTGATATAACTTGACTAAAAAGTGGTGTCGAATTTTCGATCGAACCAAAAGATGAGTCTGATTAGATTTGAAATGGTTTCCTTTAGTCGGTCGACCTGGACAAGCATATAGGCTCTAAAGCTGTGAGCTGTACTTTGCCTACTAGATTAGTTTAACTAGTTTTCAACCATTTTTGCTTTTTTTAGAAGTCACTCCCATAAAGACAGCCTAATTTTAGCTTTAGTTTAGCAACTCATGAGAAAATACGAAGAAAATGGACAAAAGCTAGCTAAATGTAGAAAAGAAAAGATAAAACAGAAACATAGAAAAAAAGATTATGATAAAACAAAACAAAAATTTGCTATTACATATCGACTTAAAAAATCAAAACGAAAATGAAAGTGGTTGCAAAAGAATCATGTCCTCCTATATATATGCAAGGAAAAAGATAGTGCATTTTAGAATGTCATTATCCAACAATTATTTGATCCATTGGTTTGGATAAAGATTAATTTGCTCAAAATTATTCAAATTTTGAGATCAACACACCCTATTTTGATCAATTTTGTCCGAGATCAACACACCCTATTGCCTACTATACCTACCTCGTTCTATAGGTTCATATGAGCTGACAGAGCTTTTTTTTCAAAAAAGGCTATTCTCGATAAGTTTCTATTAGCTATTTTACTGGCAGAAGGCATTTTATTTTAATATTTTAATGAAATAAGATCGATAAAGAGAGTAAAAATCTCAATCGGGGGCACAAAAATGACTGTTTTTGGAGTCTGTATAGGTATTTAAACGTGTTTTCTAATTGAAAACAGTGAGAACTAAAATTGTGAAGAAGAAAACTGAAAAAAGTTGATTAGAAGTTGGGAAAAAGTGATTGGTTACAGGGATTTTCATAAACGTAAACTTGGCGCAAATGATACTCGACACAAATGAAATTGGCGCAAGAAATGCGGCGCTTTTGCTAGCACCCCAAAGCTTTTGCTAGCACCCCAAGGCCTTTTGTCTCAATTAATGTGTCAATTAAACAAATTGGTGCATATGCAAATTAAACGGCAAAAAGAACAAAAAGAATATCTTTTACGTCTGAAACGCACCAGAAAAAGCAGCGCGTTAACGTTTTTTCACTTTAAGTTTTTCTCAACCCTCCTTACTATTTCTATGCTTCTTTCTTTTCAATTGAATAACTTTCATTTAAGATTAACTTCTTGTCTTAGCTTTCAAAAACAAAAGGAAACTAGGGGGCACACGGAGTTGAACCATGGGCCTCTCGGACTGCAGCCGAATGCTCTGCCACTGAGCTATACCCCCAGGTGTTTGTTTGATGAAAGAAGGGGTTTTTGAAGCTGAGAGTGTGGCTGATGCAATTCTCGTTCAGCTTTTTTGGGATTTCTTCTGCAAAGGAACCGTTCGGGGATTACATCAGCCAGTTTCAAGACCCTATTTCTTATCCAAACAAACACCCGGGGGTATAGCTCAGTGGCAGAGCATTCGGCTGCAGTCCGAGAGGCCCATGGTTCAACTCCGTGTGCCCCCTAGTTGCGTTTTGTTTTTTGAAGAAACGTTCAAAGCAAAGCCTCTCTTGTTCCTCGGAAAAATCTTTATTTTATTCATTTACTACATATCAAAATGCAGAAAATTATCATGAATGACATAGACGAGATCGGTATTGATGAGATTTTGATAGGGTCTATCATATAGAGTGACACCATAGAGATCTCTGGATCGATTGGCTTTTGTTTCGATTGACGGGAGAAGGGTATAGAAACCGGTGGTCATTTCGGTGAAATGCACGTGGAAACGTTTGGAGTTCGTGGAATCGTTGAGTGAGTCTGAAAGTGTACTGAAGATTTTCCACTTAAAACATTAAAACCATGATATTTTCAATCTCACCTATTGCTTTAATCAATCCAATCATCGCCATTTCAAGATTTTCTCCGTAGAGTGGGGCTACTCTGAGGAGCTTGTCGTCAAATGTCTCCACGATTAGGCAAAGACTGACCACCTGTGCTTGAAATTAAAATCAGGCTTTTCCATTCCAAAGCCTTTACCCGATCTTTTGAATCAACCACAACTCCTCCCCTCAAATCCTCAAGTCTCAGGAGATGTTCCCAAAGTTTGCGCCGATTTCTTCCAGTAACCTGAAAATTAGTACTTTATTTTTTGCATCGTGACTGCCTCTGTGAAAGAACTCTTCTAGATTATTTTTTTTGATCAGAATCAGCTATCGTAATCGGTTGCCACGAAGGACGAAGTCAATCGAGATTGGACTCGAAAAGGCATCGGAGTATGGTAGCTTTTTCGTAAATTTTAAAATCTGCACCAGGAACACAGTCTTCTAGTCTTCTTTTATTATACCTTTGTGTCAAACTCGAACAAAGCCTTTCGCTGGTGATCGGAAAGTGAGTGAAATGTGATGAATGTTAACTCGGTGAACTCTTGGACTCGTAGTGGTCTCAAAAGTGAAGTGCACGCTTCCTGAACAAAAAGATTCAATTGAAAGTCAAAATTCAAGTCAAAATGTATCCAAACTTGCCTACAATATTAGATACAGATCAGATTAACTTTAAGGTTCTATTATCTAGTATCTAATTATTTCTTAATTCATTTTCTCACTTTCAGTTCCACTGTTGAGCAGTCAATTTCATACTGAACGGGCCCTTTGCACGACCATCCCAATTTCATGTAACGATCCACTCGTTCCGGCACTGAAATGCAATCAATTGTAAAATATTCAGTTCGATCGATCGCTCACGATCGATCATCTTACATGATCGCATCGCTTTTGTGAGATTTTTGGGTACAGTGCGATTCATTGTATAATCCCAGAGCGCCGCGCCAACCCCTCGACCCTGTGCGTCTTTGATCTGAAAATTTGTGTATTTAAAAATAGCTATAATTTACTTCTAATACAAGCTTGGATTATTAAAAATTGCCTTTTTGAAGTTTTATTCTTGCATTTTTCGACTAACCACATTGTATGCATCCATTGCCGCGATTCCGTCATTTTCACACCAAACAAAACACCCGAGAAAGTGATTATCTGTGAAGATGATTGATTGAGACTATATTGCAAAATATGTTGCAAAACAAAACAACCTTTTTCATCAAGAGCTACAGCTAAATGTGATCCATTCCAATGAGGATAGAGTTCTCGAACCGATCGATCATAAGCTGTCCAACCCTCCTGAAAATTTTTTTGCTTTTAAAATTTGAACAATTTGAACAGAGAAAGGCTAAAAGTAGATGGATAATATAATTTCAATAATTTCAATTTCATGTAAGAATGAAATTGAAATTATTGAATGCAAGATCATGTAAGAATTGCACACTGGATAATTTCAAAGTTGGCACGTTTTAGAAAACATCTGATAAATCGACAACCACTTAAAATTTCCATTTACCTAACGTAAACGTTTTAAAAAAAACACCTCTGAAATCATATGAAACCATTGCTTCCAATACTTCATCTTTCTCGTTTCGATCACATAGAAATTCCCATAAGATATTTGCCCGGTCATTCTCAGCAGATAACAACGATTGTAACGTGAATCAACTCGAGAACTTGAATCAAGAACAATGTTTGCAACTATGTAGTAAACTTGTTCAGAGAATCGATCTTATCAGTCTCTTTTCTCGCAAACTCCTCCAAATCTTATCAGTCTCTTTTCCCAGACAGAGAATCGCTCATCTCTTTTCCTGTAAACAAAACATGTGCTCCATTGTATTTGAACTTTACGTAATAATACCTGCCGTAAACACTGTAATAGTACTCCAGCCCCCTCGTACAGTCGCGTAGTCGCAAAAGTTTTTTAGTATTTGATTTTTTCTAAAAGCGCCCGTACTTTCAAAAAATGCGCCTTTGGTATCAAAAAATAGCTGAAATTCAGGGCTATTTTTTGATACCTAAGCGCGCATTGTAGCATAAACCAGTGTCGAGAAATACTCGTTCAAAGCTGAACTACGCAACACTTCGCACCGTCATTATGAAGGTGGGGTACTATTACAGTATTTACGGTGGGTACTGTTTTGTCACATTTGTTTATTTGCTTGTTAATAATTGCTTAAAGTTCCTTCTATTTGCATCTCTAAAGTTTCGATCATTGACCGGCTAATTTTTTTTGGTTCCTATATTGTCATAGAGAGATTAAGAAACGTTTCTAGCAAGATACCTTGTACGACCGGGCAATTTAACATATTGTGCAACAAAATATGCTCCCCAACGTTTGCTCTGTTTAAACTGCGTTAAAGAAATTCGGCTAAAGGCTAAGGCTTTCTAACGTTTTGCTACGTTATTTGCCTTTTTGAAAACAGAATTTATCTTATATCTTAAGTACTCACCGTAATCTCTAAACTTAAATTTGAACACAAAATTCATTGAACGACCACGTCACACTCTATTCTTGGTTTTTTTTTCTCAGTTTCTTTTGGCTTTCATACTTTTTTTCGAATTATAATTTTACTTTTTAGATACGATGAGCGATTGAGAAAGCTTGGATGGATTTGAAGAATTTCGAGATCGAGGAGAAAGCGAACTTAACGGGTACTTTGAGGAAGGACGAGAGCGTCTTCGTGGTCACTAATCAATCAGTGAAGGAGTTGGACAAAGACATGGCCAAACAAAGACGGAAATCGATCAACGTGAGGATAAGGACTTGAGGCAACAAAAATGGCGAAGGAATTCTCCATCAGCTCTACTGCGAAGTTTTGCAACATTGACCGGGCTTGCTTTGGCAAAAGGTAAACATTCTCAAATGACTTTACAGGATTTAGTAATCCCAAACGACTTTGATCGAGCCCACTAAAAATCTCTTTATTTAGATTCAATTCAAAAAATTCATACTCGGCATCTCTCTTCGTCTCGACTGCCACTCGAGTGTCGACTGCTCTTTCGGCTTTGTGCTCGTGAGTTCCACATTTAAGTATCTGAAAAAAAAAACTAGGTAAGTTATTAAAAAGGACCGGTTAAAAGAAAAGCTACATGAACCAATGAGTCATAGAAATAAATAAAAAAATTGCAATTGGTTTAAATAAGCTTTCCCATAATCATTAAACTTTTATTGTTTGATTGAATACTCTAATCTCCAACAAATGTCTTTATAAGAATACTTTTAAAATACTGTCGCCAAAGTGTCCCTCTAAAGTCTCCCCATATGGGGACACCCTTTGATACTGAAGTGCTTCGTTTTCTTTTTTCTCTCGAGCTTTTTCTTTTTTCTTTTTTAAACTCTTCATATTAAATTTTCTCTATCACAGAATTTTGAAAAAGCTCGAGAGAAAAAAGAAAACGAAGCATTTCAGTATCAAAGGGTGTCCCCATATGGGGAGACTTTAGAGGGACACTTCGGGGCGGTACTCCAAAAGTATACCCACAAGTGTCCCCATCGCCAGAGGCAAACTTTCATTCGATAGATATTAATCAGGGCTATTCAATGAAACCAAGTGTAGTGACATCGGTCAAGTCAGCGGCAAGAAAAACGCAAAAACCTAGTTTGTCTCTGGCAATGGGGGCACTTGTGGGCGGTACTTCAAAGGTATATTTATAAGCATGGGTTACTACCGTTTTTGTCTTATTCTGCCCACCCTTCTTCTATCATGTTTTCACGATCTTTTTTCTTTATGTTAACTAGCTTTTTGCTCATCCCTTCTATACGAGCTTTTTAAGAAGGGCTGTTTATAACGATTACGAACCGAGCGGAAATCATCGAAAGCTTTAAGAAAGAGCAACTGAATGTAAGACTTTGTAAGACGCTTTACTATAATTGATTTTAAATGTTGTGGTTTGTGATTTTCAGTAGATTTTTCCTGCAAGTTTTTCTTTAGCACATGCCAACCTCGTCTGTCAGCTTCCTTGAAGAACTTCCCGACGTCGTCTTCTATGCGGTGATGGAGAAACTTCCTGGACGGATCATCGAAAAGTTAGCAGCCTTCCTATTCTAACTTTATTCTTTGCTTTAGAACTGTTCGCCAACTCTCAAGGGGTTTTTATAGAAGGGTCGAGCTGCACAGAGCAAGACTTCCTCGTGTTTATATCGATATACTTAAGGTTCATCGGAACAGGGTAAGATATTGTTGTGTTAGTTATAAAAACATAGGTTTTAGTTTGGCTATAGAAGGCATGGCGATAGAGCAATGAATGATCTTCACTATACGGAAGCTAACTTAATTCAACATTTGGAGTATTTGAAAGAGCGTGTAACCTTCAAGACTATTGTTTTGGTTAGTTTTCCGTAAGATTTAGTAGTACGTAATATTTGATATATTTTTTTTAGAACGATGTTAATTGGGACATGTTTGCGAATTGCAAGTTCGAATGCGAAGAATTCTTGTGCTGTGTGCGTAAAACGGCTCTTTCGCCGGAAAGATTCATGGATATTTTTCGCAGTATAAGACCAACACGCAAGCTAGATATTTATGTAAGTTTGTATTGAACGAATCAAAATTAGGCTGATTAAGGCGACTGGGAACAACAAAATTTTTCCTGTGACGAGTGACTTTTTCACCAATAATTATGCGATTGGATTGCAAGAAGTTCGGTTGGAGGGTGACGGAAATGCCATGGTTTATCCATTAAATGACACGGTTTGTTTTGATTTAACTGTCAATGAACAATTTTTGTTGCGACGCTTACTCGGCTTAATATTTATTGTTTAGATCTTGGATTCAACTCCTTCGATTTTTTGCGGTGATTTTCAAACAAGTTGCGGGTGCACTCTTAATGGGATTCAAACGATGCTCCGAGACTGGTACACTTCACAGCGTCAAATTAATCGATTTATGCTTCGAGTAGATGGTGGGGAAGCGCAACTTCAAAATGTGAGCTTTTTTAACTTTTTTTGCTGAAAATAATTCGGATGCAGTTTTTAAAAACCCGAAAGATTGACTTAACTATTCTGGTCTAAATAACCTAGATAATCATTGAAAAGCAACTCAAATCAACGGTAGTTTTCTCGATAAAATTGCTCAGGTTTTAGTTCTGGCACAACTTAGATGGATTGCTAGTTAATAAAAGGCTCCTCTACAAGGGTTCCATCTCTTCTCAGCTCGCCTTGGAAAGAGCAAATGGAGACGTCCTTGAGCTTTATGTTTACATTGATCAAAGGGAAGACTATCTTAAGTCTGTTTTAGCAAGGTTTTTTCTAACGTATGAAACGCGTTCAATGAAACGATCTATTACAAAATTTCTTTAGTATCTTCATGATTCGACTAGTGCCCGGCCCGGAAGCTGGCTTATATAGGGAGTATGATGACGTAGGATAATGCACAATATTTATTTCCTATTTTGAATTGAAAGCTGTATTTTGTTCTCTATGAATTTGTAATGTATTTTAAAGCTTAAGTTTTCATGTTGTAATTTTGTCCATTGTGATTGCTATTTCTTGGGGAGTACATAGTACTACTAATGCCACGATTTGAAACTCTTCTCGCACTCTGAATAAATCCTTCATGAGTTGATTCTTCTTGATGCTTTGCTTTAATCCGCACTTTTTATTTCAATTTTTTATTAAAAACTAATGTAATTTTATAAAAATCGTATCAGGTTTGAGATGAGTTTTTTCTCGAACACGCAAACTCCACCGAAGCCTCTTTTTGGTTCGACAGCTGCGACTAGTTCGAGTACGTTTCTATTCAAATTTTTGATTAAAGAACAAAGTTCAACGTTATCCCAAGTTGGCGCCTCAATTTTCCTATTTATAGCCACCAATTTGTTTGGATCAACCGCTCCGGCAGCAACTCAAAGTGTCGGTCTTTTTGGAAACACGGCAACTCCGGCTACTGCAACGGGTGGCACCTTATTTGGAAATGCGAGTACAACAAGCAATCTCTTTTCAAAAAGTATTTTATGTTTCTTTCCGTTTTAATTACCAAAATTTTTAGCCGGTTTTGGTTCACCGGCATCGACAAGTCTTTTTCCCACAAATAAGCCGACTTTGATGACAGGTGGTGGACTTTTTGGAGGCCCAACAGCGCAACAACAACCCACTGTCATGCGGGACACTCTTCAAACGATACTACAGGTTGGACCATTTCAATTTGTTTAAAATGGCACTGTTTAGAATTCCGATATTCTTGTGCGATCAATCACATCACCACAACTGTTTGGAGACGAGCGAGACAATATTGTTGCTCTTCTTAATCAAGTAGCGGCTGCATTGGGGTTTGATTTTCTGATTTTAATAGTAACATTGGGGCAATTTAGAACGGGTGATGGTTATCACACCGGTGATCAACAGCCAATAAAATACACACAAGACGGCCATCTGTATCATTTTGTCGTAAGTTTATTGGAAGCAAGTCTTGTTTATAAATAAATTTTAGGCGGTGGCTTACAATGCAGCTTCGGAATATGCTGACTCAGATGGAATGGTTGCACTTGTTCTTAGGACTCCAAGCACTGAATTTGTTACTTCAGCTCAAAAGTACATATTTCAAAGTTTGAGTTTACTTGAACTTTTAGGCAAAACCTGGAAGATGCTTTCTTTCGCTTTCTTGGAAACAAAGCTGAAATTAAACCGCACATTGAATCCATCAAAGCTCTTCCCGAGAACTGTACGGAGGTTGAGTAACTAAAAGTTTTTTTACCCATTTTAAACTTTTAGGTAACTTTGTACGTGACTCAGAAAGGCAAAGGACGAATAACAAGTCGAGAACTTTGTCAATATTTAAATCAAAATGAACAAAAAATGCAACTGGAACAACAATTGAAGGTTCTTTAAGTGTTCGACACTTTTGTAATAGGCTTTTAGGTTGATACAACAAAAATTGTGAGTCGTATGCGAATGAGTCTTCAACAATTGAATGAATATCTCAAAGACGTACCACCCGGTAATATTTAAACAGACTTTGAACTTTAAAATCTGATCTAACTAATATGTTAGGTCTTGATACTGTTATCTGGGAGCAATATGCTCGTCACAATCCCGATCCGGAGCGATTAATCCCCGTGCCTGTAAGAGGATTCACTGCACTCAAACAACGACATGAAGCACAAATTGCTGAAGTAATTTTATGTTTTTTGGCGCTTTTCTATTTCTTATTTTAGGTTAATATGCAGCATAAACTTGTGGATATAATGTCAAATCGAACCAAAAACAACGAAGCTTTCCTTGCACAGGTTGTTTTTGCTTTCACAGCTTTTCTCACCAAGCTTTAGGCTTGGGCACGACTAGAAGCAACAAAAGCTAAACAACAAGAGCTCTCATTTCGACTTATCAGGTAAATGCAAAAACTTTTTTAGCAACTCTCAGATAACAATGTAGTAACGAAATATGTTATTTGGCCTTTTAGAGTTTTGTGTGCTCGAGTTTCTGATGCTCGTTTTTCGCAACCAATTGATGGAACTGAAGAAGCTGTAGGAAACGCACTTGAGACGTTATTAGCAAGATTGTCAGCTCCTGAGCAAATAAAGGTCATTGTTTTTCCCAAAAAATTTTTGGACTTTGAAAAAGTATTTTAGGAGAAACTTTATGCGTCGGTTGAGCAAATTCGCGAATTGCAAGAGAAACAGAAAGCGGCAAACAACCAGGTGCAACGAAGTGGGCAGAAGCTCTCCGATGCGGATCTTTTGGCTTTGAAGCGATACCTGGCGAGGTAAGCTTTTTCTTGCAACAAAATTCTGTGTGGTACAAGACCATAATCAGTTTGATTCAGATGTCAAGATGGTTTGGAAAATCTTGTGAAAGTCGCCAATAACAATGTGCAAGATCTCAACGTTTTGATGAAGAAAAATTTTTGCCGTGAATACCTCCGCTGTTATTTTCGAATATCATTCTCGACACTTTTATCGAGTGATTTTTATACGGGAATTTACTATGAATCTTTCAAATCAGATATTTTTCGTTATATATTAAATTTCTTTGTCGTTTTCAGTTTATTGTTAAACTTTGATAGTTGCGTGTTTGCTGATTGGTGTTGAATAAAATTATAAATGTCACAATAAAAGTTTATTGATAGAGACTCGGTAAGGGATCAGGCTAGGCAGGGCGTTGTGTTGGGGGTTGATGTGGCGAGTGGTGGGGTGGTGAGAGTAGCTCTAAATAACATCAGTTCTTGGTTTTTATTGAAAATTAAGTATAGTACACTTCATACTATCAAAGTATTCAGGTTAAAGCTAGTACAAACACTGAAGCGAGTCGAGAAGGAAGCTGATTGGGACACACTCATGACCTTCGGCCGACATCTGAGCCAACATTTGGATGAAGTTCTGGAATATTTCTGTTTGTTGTTTCTTTTTTCATTCTCACGTGATGTGGAGCCGTTTCTCCGCTTCTCTTCAACATGATCCCGCGACAAGCGGGAGCAAAGGAGAACTTTCTGAAATTATTGATGTAATCCTTTGTGATCAAGAATCTAGCTCTTCAAAGAATGCCGTAGAAGTGTGTAGTACTAACGGTCACAACTAGCTACATTGTTTTTTTGACCTGCAGTCCAAGGCGACGGTGACGAGAACAAGCGAAAGGAAGCAGAGGAAATACCGTACCGAAGACATTCCTTTAGTGTGAATGAAGAGAGGGGAGTAGTGTGTAAATGAGAATGAGGGGATGAGGGGGAAGATCCCTTCATATAGCCTTTCATCTTGGCCAACAATCAAATTATGTCCGGTGCGTGTCTTGGCTATCTCCAGGGGGAATGCAAGATGCTTTTAGTCGAGATAACACAATTAACACTTGGCCGGTTGACGAATCAAGGAATTTCCTGAACCCTCGAGACAACATTTCCTCATTTTACCATACATACGTCTTTGAAGTGTTACAGTAGAATTAAGTAAAAAGTTAAAATTTATCGAGAACATTAAAACTGAAGGATTTTGACATCAATCTACTAAAAACATAACTGAGCGTATCACAATAAACTCGTAATGCTACAATCACCCAACGTAAACTCGTAATTTAATAAATCTCACAATTAGTCACCAAAAAACTCAAATATATTATAGAGGAAAGTTTACATACACTATCTAGTAATCGCGTATCGGAAGGTCGTAGTTCTGTAGTGGAGCTTTCTTCTTCTTGGCTGGCATTCTCTTCTCCATCGAAAACAAGAAGCGCAAGTCGTCCAACGTCAATTTGTTTCCCCTAAAACTTTTATTGTAAATTGCAAAGACAACAAACAAGAATTTACAATAAACAACACTTACTTTTCCGTTCGTCCTGATAAGATTCCCGATGCAAGCTTCAACTTGTTTTCCTGTAGCTGCACTACTCGTTCCTCGATCGTTCCCTCGCAGCAAAATCTAAAGCTAGTTGAATTTGATGTATTATTACCAGCAAAGTCACTTGTGAATTTGAACCGCTTGCTTCTGTCCGTGGCGATGAATTCGGGAGCAGGCTTGCTCTTCGAGTTGGGGATTCCAGTGCGGGTCGACGATAATCATATTGGCGCCTAAATATACGGCATAAAAGAAAAATAAATGCAACCAACAAGTCTGGATGTTTAATCCGGTGCCTCCCGAAGTGAGTGAAAGCAGGAGGACGGGCACACGCTTCTCCCTCACAAACGCATTGATGACTTCGCCTTTCTTGTCCCGATTGAGCGATCCGTCGAAGATAAGATATCGAATGTTGTCCTAAAGCTTGGGCATTATGCATGCAGACCAGATTTTATTACCTCATTCAAATAAACGGCCAGCAATCGCAGGACGCTCACGAATTGACTGACGACAACGACGTCGTCTCCCTTCTTCACAATCTCGTTGATCAATGTCATAACCTTTTGCAACTAAATTTTAAATTAAATAGATCCCAAAGGAAAAGCACAAACTTTCTTGCTTCTAACGCTCGCATCGAATATGGCATACTTGTTCTCATCCTTAATTGTAGAAATGTCGCCATCAATCTCCTCGGCTTCTGTTTCGTTTAATGGCTCAAGTACTCCATCGAAAGCGTCCATCGTTAAAGCCTGAAGTGAAAAATGTTATAGCAAAGCGTATGTTAAGAAAATTTCATCAAACGTACCTCTTTAGTCAGACAGAAATGGATCGCGGCTTGTCGAAGTCGTAGAAGCACGGCCAGAATCACATGCATCATCATCTTTCCATTTTTTTGCATGGCTCCTTGAAAGACATTTGGGATATCTTGCGAACGTGTCGATCGCGGAAAATGGCCGCTTTTTTCGTCCAAGAATTGCTTCACCTAAAAGCAGAGCAGGTTAAAACACTACAATGCCTAAGATACTTCGAGAACCCCACATGCGACATGGTCACCCCCTTCGGATTTCCTTTCCCTTCGGGTTGAGAGGTTTTCTGGAGGGCAGTCTGGTGGTTGTGGCCCCAGTTCTTTAAAGTGACAAGCCACTCCTTCATCGTCATCTTCCCTTCACCACCAAAAAAGCTATTTAGTTCCCCATTGAGCTTAGGGTTAGGGAGCCGTCTGTCATGACGTGGGTTAAGTTAAGATATAGCCTAGTATTGTGTGTGTCGTTGTATTGTGATTGATATATTTCGTGTATGCGATAAATTCACCACTGGTAGCCCCAGTCGGTATTTTTTTTTTTTTTTATACCTTTTGTTGTGACGCTAGCAGCATTAGATCATAGGCTTTTGACTCGTCTCCCTCCAGATGCACACGATGCATATGGTTTGTTCGGTCCGGAAGTCGTAGGATTGCTTTGTCGCGATGTAGAAGAATTGTTCCGACCAGTGCGTTCAAGCGATTGCGAGCTGCAGCTAAAAGAATCTGTTAAAAGAATGTAGCTTTTTGAGTGTTACGTGTATCGTCGCTCATCTTCTCTTTCCAAAAGCCGGGATCAGCAAAGGGCATGATTCGAAGAAAACTAAAGCAGCGTTATTAAAAGCAACCACATGTAAAACATACCTGACTAGTGCATAAAAGTCGGCTAACTTATTGTGTACTGGTGTTCCCGTCATAGCCCATCGGCATTCGGCTTCGATATCCATCACAGCACTGTTGATTTGAGTTGCCTAAACAGTCTAGTCACACCAGGTAATTTATAGAAAACCAACGGTGTTCCTGATTGTGTGGGCCTCGTCGAGTATAACCCGCTTCCAATAGACTTTGCGAATCGCGGCATGATCGTTGAAAACAATCTTAATTAAAAGCATTACCGTAAAAAATGAGTGATTCCTATGGGTTACACATCCGCAGCGACTCAACTGAGAATATAAACCCGCAAATTTGCTAATCAAACAAATTTCCATAACGTGCAAAACAAATAGGGTTATACAATTACATGGGAAGTATACATGCACAAATTAGAGATCTGGATGTATTATATAATCCCAGTTGAGCTGGTTTTTATGCATAGCCCATGAGTACCAAAAGAGTTTGTATGCATACTGGTACTTATGCATCTTTCTCACCCCAATGATTAAGGTTACCCTACATACCTTATTCCCTTGTGATTTCCTTAGAACGTCGTTTTTCAAAATGTCGTAAGTCGTCAGCACAACATCTGCCCGGCGTAACCTAAAAAGCTTTTAAGAAGAAAATCAAAAACTCAATCTAAATTTTTTTAAATCTCAAAAACCGTACACTTTATCATCCAAATTATCCCGGCTTTTTTTGGGACCCGTGTGACAATAAATGTTGAGTGCGTAATCTTCGTCAACCCAAAATTAAGATACTTAATCTCGAAAAGATAAGATACCTTGTCTCGCAGTTCTTGTGTCCATTGATTCAAAACCGACGAGGGAACGACCACCAATGTTGAGAAAGTTCCTGTCATTTTTCTTCCAGAATCTTGACTAAAAGTAGAAATAAAGTCAGCAAACTTTTACAAACATACATTGCCTTGTTTAATAAACGCGTACGATTTTCCCTGGCTGCCTTGAGAAATTCCTCATTCTGTAACCCGATCAAAAAAGAAGTGATGAGAGAAATCGCTGATGTTGTTTTCCCGAGTCCCATCTCATCGGCTAAAAAGAAATATATAACTATACAATGTTTATTAGTTACCCAAAATGCCTCCAGTGCTGCTTTCCTCGCGCCATTTCATCCAATTAAGACCGTACTGTTGATGTGGAAGCAATTGCACACTCATCCATTCCGGTGTTTCGGCGAGATCCTTATCAGGAACAGGCTTTGAATCGAGTTGTCTAAAAATAATAATAGAGCATGAACTAGATTAAAGGTTTATACCTCTGAAGTGAGCGGAGATAGTATGCTTCCTTGCCAGGTTGATAAATGATGGTAGACGGACCAGCGGGTAGCGAAGAAACGGCCTTGTTTCGGGGAACAGCTCCATCCAACCCAGTGTCCTCCACATTCTTTCGCGTAAAACCAGTTGCATCGTCGTCGTTTGATGTGGCACTTCTATCATCTTCGTCATCTTCCATCTTGATGCGTAGACTCTAAAGAAACGAGGTCAACCAACAAACATGCATGCCAAAGCTTACTTGCATGGTTTGATTCAAACTCTCGGTGATTGCATCCGATAAGTTGCCTGAATACTTCCGTTCATCTCTTGTATCCGGCGAGGAGCTTTTCGTGCTTGCATTCGAGGTGTTGAACAAAGGCACTACCTAAAATAAAAGTGTTGTTAGCGCTACTACTATAAACCAGCTTACTTTTTTATCGTCATTTGAGCCAGAGTCAGAGTCCGAATCCTCGATCACAACCTTTCTACACTTGTAAGGCTTCGATTCGTTTGAGTTCGACGCACAGGAGCTTGACGACGCATTTGAGGATTCTTCCTAAAATGGCACATAACCTTGTACACTCCCAATATGAACCTGTCTGTCATTTTGTTCCGTATCGGATTCATTAATAAAGATTTCTTCAATCTTTATCGGTTTAATCGATTGATTTGAAGTTGATGTAGCAGATGAAATGTTGTGTATTTGTGGTGGTTTCTAAAATGACTCGTCAAAATTAATGGAAGTCAAAATTACCTTTAAATCTTCTTCCGAGTCACTTAATTCTATTATCATCCGTCTAGGATTGACTGGTTGATTCGAGAACGACGAAGACGAGTCCAGTTGAATATTCGAAGCCTACAAAAAATAACAATTGTTATGCAAGCCAAACAAGGTACCTTTCCATCCTCTTCGCTATCGCTGATTGAAACCGATACTCTCCTTTGAGTAGGCGATTTGTCAGATGAGGCATCAGATGAAATGTCGAAGACCTTCTGTCGAAGACCAAGATTAGAACTGTTTAGAGGCAAGTTCTACCTTTTCTTTGTTCCGTGAATTTGTGTCAGAGAGATGAGCCTTTTTCCCATGTTGATTCGTCACGACAATCGAGTCGTCCAACAATTTTGCTTCGGACTTTCTCTTGCGTTGCAGCATCTAAACTTGTTCTGTTGTGATGAAAAAATAAATTTGTTACCATCGATTCCTCATCCGACGAGTCAGTCAGCACATACTCCTTTGCATTACTTGATGTAGGCGATTCGACGAAACTTAGCGACGTACTATCGTGTGCCCTGGACGCCGTCTTGTAGGGGAAACTCTAAACACGAAATTTTATAAGGTATTATTGATTCAAATCGGTATAAGTTTTGCCCAATTAACCTCGCTTCGACTTAATTAAGGTAAGTGTCTTTCTAAAAGTTTTAAAAGTAAAAATCTGCTCACATTCTCCTTGTTGCTTTCCTCTGCCGAGTAGAACGTCTCCCCCTCGTCGTTGTCCTGTATCGACAACATGCTGAAGTTGGCGATTTCCTCGTCGCTCATTTTCTAAAGTTAAATAATAAATTTATATATCAATCAAACTGAAATTTGAATAAAGAAAACAAAATCACATTACATAAACAAAATAGCATTATTTCGAGTGCACATATTCATGAATACTAAGCGTCGTTTGTTCTGCCCATCGACCCGCAAACATAGCTTTCCACACGCGAATTGTTCCGTCGCTGCTGATGCCCGTCAATGTTGTGCCAGTTAAGTTCCAGCAAAGTCTCCAAATTTTGAAATAGTCTCCCAAGAGAGCCACTTGATGCGTTTCATAGGTATCATTTGCTTCTTCGCTCGCATTGTTTTCTTCTCCATAAAATGCGGTCTTTGGAATCTTGATGTTGAAGATTCGAACGTCTTGTGAGGCGATTGCGAGCTGATGATATTCGGAAGTTGGATTCGGTGACTAAAATTTTTGATATTTGATATATTGTTAATGATAAAATGTTTCAATAATTACAAATTACTCACAAAAGCCATATCGTTGACTGGCAGAGCAAGATTGAAGACAATCGAGTGAACGGGCTGCCATTTGCGTTTCTCCTCAAAAAACTCGTAGACAACGATGCGTTGACCTGAGTGAATCGACGGTTTTGGATCATCTGAAGCAATAGCTAGTAGAGGGCGACACAGAGATAGCGTTGACCAAGAAATACAGCCACATCGAGCACCCGTGAAAGCAAATGGATCTAATTCTTGATTGAGAGACCACCGAGAGAGATCCATCGCATCAGCGGCTTCATAGAGCCGTACCTTTCCTTGTGCCGAGGCCGTTGCAAGCTGCAATCCAAGGTGACGAGGCGCAAATTTCACGTCGGTTACATTGGCACGACTGTCCGCCAGGTATGCTCTCTTTGCCCATTTCGTTTGTTCATCTCGTTCTTCTTCGGATACTTCTTCCCATATGTGAACCGATCGATCGTTTGAGCAGGTAGCGATTATTTGTCCAAATTCGGGATGCGCCCACGCCACTCGCCAAACGGGTCCTCCGTGCACTTTCCAGAAGGCGCTTCGCTTCCACTTTCCCTCGGGCGTTCGCTCCCAAATCCCGACCGTCATGTCCGATGAGCAGGTGGCAAGTCGGCGGCCGTTGTGGTCGAAAGTGATTTGGTGGACCGTGTCGCGATGGAGCGTTTCACAAGAGGCTCCATCTCCGTCGCCATTCATTCTCGAGCCTAAATAATACAAAATTGTAAAAAAGTTCAGAAATAGAAAACAAAAGAAAAAAATCATCGATAGTATTAAAGTTAAATCTAGCATTAGTTCAATCCGCCTTTAGAGCTACTAGAAGTTACTAAAGACCGCATTTCAAATGTGTAGTTTGTGAGCAAAAGAGACAAGAGAGAAACATTGCATTAGCAGGGGAAAATAGATTCGCCTTTTATAGCCTTTTATTGAGAAGTCGTAGATAGTTTTGCCGACGCTACTGGGGTACGGTAGCCAGGATGCAATTTAGAATCTGGAGTAGGCTAATTTCCACCATTTTATTTGCGCCACAGGGTCATTTGCACAACGTTTTTTGAAGTTTTTAAGGGACTGGCGCGAAAGCAGAGCGGTTCGCCTCTAAAGCGTGGATGCGCTACCGTGCCCCGCACAATGGTTAAGTTTTTTGCCATTCTTTTCATTTTCCTTTATTCCATGGTGGAATCGGAAACTTTGTCCGGCTTTTATGCTTTAGTCCCGCTAAGTTTTCTTTCCCCTTCTTAAAATCCATTATGTTTTTGTAGCGCGTTTTTAAAGTACTCTCTCCTCTCGTTCGTTTCCTCCTTTTTATATTGTTTGCTCATGTTTTTTCAAATGTTGGTTTTTAAAATTCTAGTACGGTTTTATTTCGTTTTATTTTCGCCTCGGTTTTCACTCCTTATTGAAGGTTTGCTAGAAAGCTTTCTAATCTTTTAACTCATCTTTCTAGTCTTTTATCTATTAACTTTTAAATCAACCCAAGAATCCGCATCCATCTCATACTGCGGTCAGATTTTACGAAGAAATGACGCAAATAACCGTTTCAAGCTTTCATCGGCTATCAATCTCACTATTGGACTAGTGGTTTGACAAAAGCAACGTTTTACTGCTATTTCTAATGGTCGCTTGCCTGATTGCGATTTTGTACAACATCTTTCTCAGCTTTTGACTTATATTAAGAAAGTTTGATTGTTATTGTTGTCCTAACTTTCATTGTTATCGGTTGCACTTTTTTGTTAAAGCAATCAAATATTTTACTAATGGTTACTAGCTCCTAGAAATGACTAATTTAGATAAATATTGGAAGATTTCATAAAAAAAAAAAAAGCTCAAAAATTAAAATAATGATAAAATGCCGAGTGCTTAATACAGTGTTAAAGTTGCGCAAACATACTCGCGCAAATGACCCTGTTGCGCAAATAAAATGGCGGAAATTAGCCCTAGAATCTCTTTTAAAGTTGCTTTTTAAGAAAGCGTCTGAAATATCTTTATTCTCTCAACACAATCTATCACAAAACACATGCACATTTTCTCACTTTCCTTTGCTAAATCAAGACTGAAATAAGTAGTTGAGGGGATAAACGAAATTAATAAAATCTCAAGGATAAACAATAAAAACTACCGGAAGAAAATCCGTGTCAAGAAGAAATTTTGTTTTGAGCAAAAAGAGGGGATTGCAATTGGTAGACTTTATCAAAAAAAAAACTGGACTTTAGAGTTGTAAATAAACTTTCAAAGTCCCAAAAAAGAAGTCAAGGCAAGTTCTCGGGGTTTTGGAGCAAACATGGAAACGGATAACAAATAGAAGACACTTTTGGTGATGAAATATTTCAAGGCACTTTGTGAGTCGTAAGTGAACGAACAATTATGCACAGTTAGGGAAATTTTGAATAAAATTATAGAATTTATTCTTGTGAAGTGATTTCAGGAGACTAGGTGAGCGGGGTGGACAAGAGGAATCTGCAACCGCAAGACAACTATTGCAGGGATTGGGTGAAACAAGAAAAATGGGACTTTTTGAGTTCTATTGGTACTTTGAGAGGTCTTTTGGGCGTTTCACGACGATCTCCACGGGCCCTTGGACTCGTTTGAGACGTTCGACAAGAGTTGCCGGACTTGAGCCGCCCACTTCTTCACCGTCGATCGCCCACATTCGGTCGCCGACTCTGCAAAATGATTGTTTAGAGGTTCTAGATAATCTTATCCACAGGCGATCTACCTTACCAAATAGACTATCCAAGACTGACTGTATCTTACTTGTATCTGTACCCTACGGGGCTACTGTAGGACGAGGTGCGCTAATAAAGCTATTGTGGTAACCACTGCACTAATAAAGCTATTGTATCTTCCCCCATTCTTTGATTGCCTTCTGAAAGTTTCCCATTGTTCCAACCTCAACGTCGCATCCTTTTCAGCGGCCGAATCGGATCCAATCGTTCGGATGAATATCCCATCAAAGCCGGTTCTTTTCGCCAGCGACAGTCCCAACGATCCACCCTCAGGTTTATGAAGAGTGACACGAATCGTTCTCTCGCCGGTCTCCTCTTCGGATTCCTCATTGAATTGTCGTCTAGAAAGAGAAAGGGTTATAAAGAAATAAGACTTTTGAAAGATATAAGGGCATTATGCAAGTCTCACCTAAGTGTCAGTCTTACAATTTGTCCCGGTGATCTCAAAAGGTTGACCACCTCTTGGTGGGTCCGGTTGACTGTCGAGATGGAATTCACCTGAAAATTTGCATTTCTTTGTCATATTAGATTACAAGTGAGACTTACACGAATGGAATGGGGTTTTGAAGTGTCATTTACATTTATATTTATATTGAATGGGCCACGCTTAAGAGTAGCGACTATGGTAAAGATTGCAGCAACTCTAAAGCTTAGTAAATCCCTCCAAAGCTCAGTTTTTGATTGAAAATATGATAAATCCATGGGTTAAATGCTAATTTCCTCATTTAAATCCTTTACTTGTGTAATTTTATGCATTTGATAAAGCTCACCGCCACGAGAATATCCCCAGCTTTGATGTTGGCGCTGAGGCCCGGTTCGGCGGTCACCTGCTTGATACAGACCTAGAAATTTTATATTTGGCTTAGTTTTTGAATATTCTTGAATAATAAATAATAGCTAGCTAATAAAATATCCGTGTTTAGGTAACAAATAATTACCTAAAAACCGTTTAGAATTCTTTTCCAACAAACCTTTCCATCTTGATGACTCGAGATCTGAATGCCCAGACTGTTGGCCGAGTTTTTCACCAGCTCCACATGGATTAAGTCTAAAAAGATATTGGGAAATTATCTAGATAAAAAAATAGTCGGATAACTATTTGTTTAAAAAAGACAATATAAATTTCCTGAAAGATTACCCTCATCATCCTCATCATCCACAACCTCTTCCTCATCCAACTCTTCAGTCCAATCAAGGTTTGAGCGCCTAAATTTTCGTCTTTAGATAAATCTTTATCTTTATCTTTATCTTTATCTTTATCTTTAATCTAATGCAATCTGTTTATGCAAGTTCTAAAGTAAATTCAAATACCTCTGTTGTTGATATCTTTTCGGTTGCTCAATTCGACTGGGCGAGATGCCGATTTTCGGCTCACTCATGAACGGATCCGAGTTGCGCTTCTGAGAATTCATGATTTTTTTCAATTCAAGTAGGCTTGCTTATATTAGGCTGTTATTTTTCAAAGAAATTACGAAAAGAAACGAAAAGACTTACTGGACAATTTAATAGGTCAAAGCTAGCATAAAATAGAAAATGGATTACGGTAGAGGATAAAAAACAAAGACTTATCTTTGACTGACAGAACTTGTTCTCAGACTCACTTGAGATCTTGATGTTACTCCACCGAGTGTGTCCTCGTCTGTTTGATCGTACGAATAGATTGAGTGCTGTTGTGGGACTCGAAACTCTCCTCTTTCTTCATCAGACTCGTCCAAGTGAAGTCTGAAACGCAGGGATGATATCAGCTGATCAGTTGATCAGTTGATCAGTTGACGAAGAAATGAAATCAACAGGAAGAATGGTGAAGATTTTGGCTACTTTTCTAACTTGTTCATTTGACACTCACCCAGAAATGGCTTTCATCTTGTCAGCAATGATATCATCACTGTTCAACACCGGCAACATGTCTCCAATTGCACCAAAATCTAAAGAAAGAAAAACTATTTGAAATTGGTTATTTGTCCGACCTGAAACAGCTCGTTGTCGTTTATTCTGCTGCTTTCTTGGCGGTGGTGGGGTGCGGGAGACGGGTTTTGGGCCAGCTGACGAAGCTGACAGTTTTCGATCTCCATTTGATGTCGTGGCTGGCTAAAATATGGTGTTATCAATAGAATTGAGTGCACTAAAACAAGGCTGTGGTTTCTTTTTGAGTACACAGCTCAGCAAAAAGAACAATTCTAGTGTCGTCTAATCCTTTCCTTTTCCTCACCGGCCTATTCGGATTGAAGTTCGAGCTATCAGCGGATATTTGTCTTGCATGTGCCGCCACTCCTTCCAATCTCGAGACCTCGATGCGCACATTTGCACCAGAATCCTAAAGTTTAGAAAATTTTCCACTCAAAGTCAATTATTTGGTTTGATCTTGAAAAATCGAAAAAAAGCAATTCAAATGCGGAAAGGAATCTGACCAAAAAGAGTTACCTGTTGAAATAGTTCTCTCTGAATTGGATATTTTGATACAATATATAAATTAGAACAAAACAAAACAAAACAAAGTCAAGATTTTAACAAACCTTGACTAAACCAACGGCACGATGTCTATCCGAATCAACGAGTGAATAGCCATTCACAGCCAACAATCGATCACCAACCAGGAGACCCTGGAAAGAACAATAGCTAGAATAATCATTTAGTATTTTACTAAATACATCCAGGTATCTACAGTAGCTGATCTAAGTAGTTAAACAAGTTTATTTCGATAAATTTCTTTTTATCCAACTTACACTCTGCTCCCCGGCACCACCCTGAGCCACCGACTTCACGTAAACACCCGGTACCTAAAAAGAATTAGGAATGAGTAGATTTGTTTTTCACAAACATCATTCAGCTTTCCATCAACCAGCGTCAATCCAAGTCCATTAATCGGATCTTTGTGAAGGGTTACCTGTAATGCCCAATTTTCGAATATCCTATCTCATTACCGTGAAGATAGCTCCAGTAGGCGGTGGTTTGTCGTGTTGATTCCGGAGACGAATCCCTTTGTTGATGCCATCTTCATAGCTATCTGGAAGATATTTTACACATTAGAAAGCCATTCCCTTGCTCAAGTCAGTTTTTTTTTTCACAACCACAATTTCACAAACGACACACCAGATGACTCGTGATTGTTGTTGATTGGAGTGAGTGGTGTTGATGAGGATTCCCTTCGTTTATTCGCGATTTTTGGGAAGAGGCTTTCCGTTGGTTCCAGCGGACTATCGGGAACAGAAACTGAAAAGAGAAAATGGGAAAGTACAACAAAACTAGAACAGCACTAACAACACAGTTAAACTTTTTAAATAAAACAACATTTCGCACAAGAATTTGTTCTTTTTCTTCCAATCCTCACCATTTTCTTGCCGATATCGATTTTCTCGTTGCAGTGTTCCTTCAATAGCTACATCGGGCATTGATGAGATCGAGCGTTCCGTTCTGAAAGATGTCCGTTTAGAACTCTTAGCAATGAGCTTAGAAAAGCTAGTACAATAAGTCATTCTTTACTATCTTTCCTCTACTTTTTTTCCTTTCCTTTCTTTCCTCTACTTTCTTTTCTTTCCTTTCTTTCTTTACTATCTTTCCTTTCCTTTACTTTCCTTTCTTTCCTCTAATAACTAAATGAGATACTATAAAGATTTACGTTTAATAGGATTCACAATTACGGTATCTTTGTTAGTGTCTCTGAAAATGCGCCTACTTTAGAGTGTTCTTCCATTGCCGCATCCGCATCATGAAGCGATGTTGTGACGCGGAGAAGCGCACGAAATATGCAGATCTAAAATATATTTTTAAAAAATCGATATAATTTTATAAACTAACACAAAGGGTACTCGAATTTATCTAAAGCAAAAGCCGTTCAGCCGAACGAAAAAAAGAATACACATTCGGGGATAAAGTTGGGCAAATCAAACATCAAACAATGGATTATTTGTTAGCTGAATATCGGAAATTTCTGATATTTAAAGAAAAATCTAAACCTTATATCTATTTCTGTAGTAAACATCGGAACCCAGGCTGTACTTTGCGTCCTAACAAACGCAAATTTTCTGGCATACTCAAACTGATTGTTTAAGCACAAGTTGGAGCTCGGAATGTCAGAAAGCAAGCGTTTTTCAGGAGGCAAAGTACAAATTGAGATTTAAAACCATACCACTAAGGTACAGTAAGATTGCTACAGTATATCTAAGTAAAAGGTGTTCCTGGAAATCTTAAAAGATATTCAGTCGAGCATACTGTGGTTAGACTGATGATTTAAAGTGATCCTAAAGATATTCAATCAACTCGGTTTTGTAGATTTGCCCAACTCCACTTCAGGATTAGAGAAGCGCTTTTGGATGAGACTTTTTTCGGACATTTAAATGCAAATTTTGATAATAACATTGCAACATAGGAAAACACTGGATTAGATATCCTTTTTTTAACTTTCTCCTACTTATATTCGACACTTCCGGCCCACACATAGCCGTTGCTGAAAGAGAGGGTTACTGTAATCGGCCACCAGGAACCGTTGAAATGCAAAGAGTTAGAAGAAAGAGTGTTACGAGACATAAGAAAATGTAAAATATTCAAAATATTCATAAAAAAGAGATAGCTGAATATCTTTCTTACTTGCTGTAGTGATCGGTCCAGAAGACGGTTTCCGAGTGGTCACCGTCTCGTTGAGCGACGATTACAAAGCTAAAACGGTTTTGCTATGGGCTACTGTAGCTAGAGATGCTCTCATTTCATCAGTACTTTGTGCTGAAACAGAAACACACCCTTGCACCGAATTTACAGAACACTTGCTTGCCGCTAACTTCTTACTGTAAGATTTGAGTGCACCAGAAAGGGTGGTGCTTACGGTACTAGAGATTCATCAAATTTCAAAGTTACTTTTCTAAATCAAGTCACTAACCGTTTCTTATCAAATTGTAGTGTCTGCGTTCGTTGCCACACGTGTTCGGCCAATGGTTGTCTCACTCCACCCTGGAAATATCCATTTATCAGCATTTATATCTCCTTTACCTGTTCCTCCAAAACAATAATCCCCTTTGGCATTATCGCTATCCACATATTTGCCCCGGTATCCGGATCAAATGGTGATGCTCCGTGAGCCATTGAGGGTTTTGATCGGAAAACGCGATGCAGATGGGATCCGTAATCGGGAAGACATGTGCACACCTGGGAGAAGAGATTCTTTGAAATTTGAAAAGCTTACAAGTCAAAGGATGTTGTAATCTCTCGAAACTATAATATAATTTCACTACAGGATAAAAACATCAGGTGACAAGGTTGACTACTCTCCATCAGCTGAAGATTTGAAAGTCAGTCAGTCTTTTCAACAGAATATATCTTTTTCCTTCATACTGTAGTGGGACAGACTTACAGTATCTTACAGTATCTTTATAAAGTTCAATCCATTCCACTCACTTGAATATATCTCGTCTCAGCCTCTTTCGCTCCCAATCCCCTGTAATGATCATGGAGTTGGCTGAGTTGGAGATGAACCGATGATTGATCATCGAATTGATAAAATCTCTAAAAGTTTCAAGTTAAACATTTATTTTATTGCTAACCCTTTGTAGATAGTATTCGATAGAAAAATAATCCTTGACGGCCGGTGGGGGACGATCGCCGAACTCAGCCTGAAATTTGCATATGTAGAAGACAATTCTTTGTAAAGCTGATTGTTTCATAGATTAAAGATTTACTAAGAAACAGTATAGTATTAATAAAACATAGTACTCATTAGTACCTGTAACGCCAGCGCGGCCAACTCCAAGCCTCGATCTCTTTTCGGCTGCAAACGATCCTCCAAAATGTCCCTCCTCAATTGCAAAAAGAGCTCGTGAAGGGCGACATCGGTTCTAGAATTGAAATTTTGCTATAAATTGAAAACTTTTTTGTACTTGATAAACTCCAAAACTTGAGGATAGAATCGAAATCGTAAATGGAGAGTGTATCCGACTTGTCTCGATCGATCTTTCCACCCGGGTGGGGCGAATTTCTCCAATCTTTGGTCATCATCAAGGAAGAAGTGTTCACCATCTGCAATTGGGTTTGTTCGGGTTTAGTCTAAACACGATCGAAAAAATGTCCTCACAGACAGACACTACTCTTTTATATATATATAATAGATAGCTTTAACTCTGTATTCGAATTCACTCACCTCTCACAACCGACAACCCAAAGAAGACATTCTCATTGATGTTCATATGGCCTACAACAAGACTGAAGATGTCCGCCGTGACCACATCGGATCGACAAGAGACCTGAGAATTTGAATATAATGGATATTATTGTAGAAGTAGTCATTCATCCCACTCACCTCGATTTTTTGCCCATTGAGCAGTTCAACGAAGACATCGGTTTGCTCAACCCGGTGTAAGACCATTTTCTTCTAGAATTTGAATATAAAATTAGTACTGTACGACATTTTAAGGTCAAAAATACCGTACTATAAAGATATTAAGATACATTTTTTTCAAATAATTAGCAAATAATTCTAAAAATAATTAGCTAAAGTTTTAAAATATTACCTTTTTGGTGGTGGGCGCCTTGAGGCGGATGGCAGGTTGATTTTTGCGCTCGACAAACTCCGGCTCGGCTCTTGTCTGGAAAATTTACATATGAAAAATGTCAAAAACTAAAATCAATTTAAGATCTTAAAAATCAATATATGCTTTTGATGGGTATCAACCCATTTTCGGGGTTCTGGAAAGAGGGCGAAAGAGAGAGAGAGCCCCGCTGACAGGTCCGTCCCCAAAAAGCACGTCATCAACCACAAAAAAATGGACCAGGGAGCTTTGGAAAACTAGGAAATCTTAAAAAATGGGGAAAAAAAAAAAAAAGTTGTATTTTTTTGGGTCAAAATTTTATTTTTAAAAAATAAAAAAGGGAGGAAAAAAGTGGTCAAAGAATGGTAAGATAAGGTTCAGGAAATCGACAACAGAAGATTTCTTATAGCTTTATAAACCTATAAGAAATCTTAAAAACTAAAAAACTGCCTTAAAGCAGGATATTAGAAATCAGATATTAAATATTTAAACAAAAATATGTTAGAAATATCATTTTACAAGCTAGTTTCAGTAGTTTAACGAACTCAGTAGCCCTGTTTGGATAAAGTCTGATTTCAAACTGACTAAATTCTGAAATAAGATCAATACTGACTTTAGATAATTAATATTTATAACAAATAAAAAAAATGATATCGAAATTCCCACCTTTCCCCTTTTCCCCCTCTTCGTCGATCTCCTCGTAATCCTCCCAGATTCCATTCTCCGGAAACCGGTCTGTGGTGAAGATCTTGGCGGTTTTTGGGGGCTTTCTGAAAAGAAATTGATAAAAAAATTAGATATTTCAGTTATTTTTAAATATTCAAGCAATTTAAATGAACTTATATTACTAACCAGGTTGTGTGAGGGTCGGCGATGAAGGAACGGGTAAAGGAAAAGTGCTCGCCCTTCTCTCCTCGAGTGCTTTTGCGAAGATTTCGTCCATCGATTCGGGTTCCTTAAATAACTTTTAACATCAGCATTTAAAATTATCTAATAATTACTTCTTTCTTTTGTTCAACTTTCGGCGGTTCAATGATCGGGTCAATGTCTCGAGAATGTTGTGGAGCATGACGTCGAGCAGGCGGAGTAGGAGTGGACTGAAGTTTGGATATAAAAATGGAAAAGATCGAGAGATATTAAAAAATGTGTAAACTAAGCATTAATCTATCAGGCTTATGACTGGAGTTCTGCCAAGCTGAAGCGCGTTTTAGAGCATCTACAGCATTTACGGTAGGTAGGACTGGGCCAAGCTTTAGAACTGCTCAAGTCAGCTTCAGAAAAGTTCAAGTAAACTACCGTAGCAGGTGGTGGTGTCTGTCTTCCCATATCCGATGTTCTTCTTCTATTCATATCTCTCATGCGTCCATTTCTTTGCTCTCTCTGTTCAGTGTCCGTTTCGGAGCTCGACGTCTCGTCGTCTTTCTCAGCATCAAAGGGATTTGTGGAGTGTCGGCCTGAGAAAAATATATAAATATATTCAATTATATTTATTTAAAGGTTCAACTAAACAGTGCTAAACATAGATCTGCTTAAGTTGCAGTCATGTTGATTATTAGGCTGTCCAGAAAGTCTTTTCGTTCATTTTCGTACTTCCATTTAAAACCAACAAATGCACCAATTGAACTACGATTTAATTCATTAGAAAGGCTAACTATATTTCTGCAAAATAACATTAAAACGGGTTTTAAATGTCCTATGTCTGGATTTTTTTTGAAACCTTTGAAGTCGGAAGACGGCTCGATGATGCAGCTTAGATACTTTAGCTAAGGAAACCTATCTTTTTGCCTATTTCACTCTTGAATTTGCTTGAAAGTAAACTAAAATTGACTTAAAAAGATGGGAAATTGAAGAATAAACACTATTTAGAGAAAACTATAGGTTAATTAGTGGAATTTGTTATTTTTCAACGGAAGCACGAAACTTTCTGAAACGAAAAGATTTGACAGCCTAGTTTGCAAGCTTTAAAAGATACCTAGAAAAGAATAACGTTTGTCAATTGTAATTCAATTACAGTTAGATTTCTTATTCTATAAAACCCTTACCATTTCTATTCTTTTGCGGCCTTTTCTCGAACATTCCTTTCCTATGCACTTCTTCCACAATCACCGCCTCTTTCACGATTCGTTTCTTTGGTTCTGGTGAAGAGCCGCGGTTGATACTGCCTGAATATAAGAACTAAATAAAAACTATGACTTGAATTTCTGAAGTTTCTATTACATTTATTCAACTCACTCTCATCCTCCTTGAAGCTCGAGGAGAAAGCTGATACACTCGAAGTGATGCTTGTGCTTGGTGTTCGGCCCTCGTCCGTTTCCACCACTAAATTTCAAACTTGGCACATTTTAGAGAACAATTGAAAGGGTAAGCTGAACATCTTATTGATATTTTCAATTGCCCACCTTGTAGTGCTTGTTGTATTTCTTTTCTTGGCGGGGGTTTCGGGGTTGGCACTTCGATGATTGCGGGCATTATTTGCAATGGTGGAGGGATAGTTTTCTCCCGTTCTTTGTTCAATTCCCGTTCAATCTAAATCAAAAAATATTAGTAGATAATCTTTAAAAAATATCTGGGTATCGATTTTCCAGGAATTCTTTTCTTTGAGTCTTTTTGGAGGGAAGAGTCAAGCGATAGAGTAATCCGGTCCTTTATGAAGCTTTTAGGGTAAGCTTTTAGGGTCAACTTTTCGTTATAGATAAATATCTTTTATAGTTTTTTTATTTAAAAATAACTTTTTTTTCTTGTACCTCATCAAAATATCGACTTTGATTGCTTCTCGTTGAGTTCTCATTGAGCTCCTCTGAATCAGAGACTTCCGCTTGAATAATCTCATCGTCTTCCGAGCTGCCGTGTTTCTAAAACAGTAATCGGTTTTCATAATCTTTAAATAAAGATATTTTTCTATTTTAAGTAAATAATCTAAAGTCTGAAGTCAATAGTCAATAGCAATAGCTCAAAATCGGTGGTTAAAAGGTGTTTGTTTTAAAGCACAACTTTGGAACTCCTCAAATGCTGCAAAGCTTTAAAAGTGGGTCAAACGGGGTGTGTTTCTATGATATTTTTAAGCCCAAAGTACATCTTAAAGTCTAGGAAAATCTCTCCAACACTATTCTTAGAGTAAATGTTTCAGCTTAAGAAAAAGGTAAGTAGCTTTTAAATTATAAAGTTTCTTTTTCCTTCAAGTAAAATTAAGATAGAAATAATTTTTGGGGCAACTTTGCTGCTTGACGAAATGCTTTTCAAATGTCACTCACAAATTTCTGCACTTGTGGCTGTTTTGGTGGCTCTTCAACGACTTCCATTTGATGTTTTCTCTTCGGGGCAACTGGAGATTCAGGAGTCGTAACTGCGGGCTAAAATTGAAAAGAAAGTTTAAAAATCAATAATTCTTAGAACTAACTTAAGATATAAACATCTCAATCCATAAAAAAAATCAATGATAGACTTAAAAAAATCTCACCCGATTATCCAAATGCTCGAAGGGATCCCGGCCGGAGAGGGTTGACTTAAAAAAATAAATTGTAAAGATGCAGTAAGTTAAATAATTTTGTAGATTCCATATTCTACACTCATTTTAAAATTCAAACTATGTAATTATTATTTATTTAAAAAATTTACCTGATTGAACGGCGATTTCTCCTCTTCGTCACTCTCAAAAGGATTTGCTTCGGCCACCGTGACAGCAGCTGGAATTAGAAATTTGAGTATTGCTGTTGAAATTGATAACTTTTCTTATAAGATATCTAGAAGCTAAACATCTATAAGCTAAACATCTATAAGCTAAATATCTATAAGCTAAATATCTATAAGCTAAACATCTATAAGCTAAACATCTATAAGCTAAACATCTATAAGCTAAACATCTTTTAGTTTCAAATCTAACCTTGTCTCTTTTCGACTCTCGGCGATTCCTCAATGACTTTTGAGCCAAAATCATCATCGAAACCACTTTTGAAGTTTATCGGTTCAAATCTCTTTGGCGTGGTTGGCTAAAGATTTGTTTTAAATACAAAATTGAATATGTAGCCGTTTACGAAATTCAACCGCTAACGAATCATTCGTTAACGGCTGAATTTCGTAAACGGCTACGACATATATATAATCAATAAAAGATCAACCAACCACATCACTCTCATTCTCAGTGCTTTCTTCAGTCAACGCGTCATCCTCCTCGGTTTCTGTTTCGAAAACTTCAACTGCTTTTTTGTTGTGAGAAGTTGTTGACGGTTGAGAAAACTGAATATGGTCGCATGGTTAGAAATCTGGGGGTAGGCTAGTTTCCGCAACTTTTTTTGCGCAACGGGGTCATTTGCGCAACTCGCCATAACTTTCTTCTAAGTCGGTCAATCTTTATGATTTTTATAGTGTCATTTTGTTGCACTTATTGAGATCTACAAAATGAGACCAAAATCATAAAGATTAGCCCACTTAGAAGAAAGTTATGGTGAGTTGCGCAAATGACCCTGTTGCGCAAAAAAAGTTGCGGAAACTAGCCTACCCCGAAATCTGGTCACGTCCGTTCCTTTCAAAAATTACGTTCCTATTTGCATTTAATTTGCGTCGCTTTTTCGTCTCATTTTCTCCCCCAAAATGTCTTTTTGGTTTTTTCTTTTTTTTGGTTTCGAATTTTGTCCTTGTTCTTTCGGGAATTAATCTCTGCTTTTTTTTCTCTGCTGACTGCTGTTTTTGTAATGGGTATCTTTGCCTTTTCATTCTGTACTAATAAATCGTTAAATTCTAAACCCAATCGACTTAAAAACTACCTTTAAAGTTCTAAATTTTGTTTAGCTAACTGGTTAAACAGTTGAGAAAAGATTTGACAATATTTGTGTGAATCCGTTTTGTACTCTATCACAAGTGTTAACCTGGTGCCAGATGCGGCTTGTCCTTGTTGTATTGTGAGCGTTCTGAGAAAACTCATTTAACCTTTAGTGCTACTCGGTTATTCTGAAACAAAATCATCCTCCGATTAGGTTAAAGTGGATCACACCCCGAACTGTATACAATAATTGTTTTATTACAGTTAATCAGATCAGATATCAGATTCAGATCAATTCAGATCAGATCAAATATCATATTCCATTTCAAAATCACTCACCGCTGGCTCGCTGTCCTCAACGATGATTTGTGGAGCTTTCAACTCTTTGAGCTGGGTTTCCGGGACTAAAAACGGTGTCGATAATGGTTAAATTTCACTTGTAGGGTTTAAAAATCTAAGATACATAAAACCAAATGAGGAATCATATCTGGAACAAACCTTTAACAGCATGAGTTTCATGCTCTTCATCATCGAAATCTTTCAATCGACTGTCCACTCGATCTCTAGATGGTTCATCGATATCATCCACCTCGAAATCTCGCTCAGAATAGTTATCATCAGAAAGCTGAAAGGATCAGTAAATTAGTCTTTAAACTAGTCTTTAAACTAGTATTTCCCAACTCTGATTCGCATCGAATCTCACCTGATTCTCATCCTCATCACCCATTAGCTCAAAATAGATATCCTGAACGATGTGCTGAGGTTCTTGGCCTCGTAGCTGGTTTTTCGCCATTTGCGCCATTCGGGTAGGAGTTGGGCGGGTTCCTAAGATAATGGATACAGGATAAAGATACAAAACTCTTAGCCAGTCGGCCTCTTAGCGGGATTGAATTCGAGTCTAACTATAGCTAGATATTAGAGTCTAATTGTAGAATTTCGACGTTGGATTTGAATCATAGCAAAAAGAAATTAAAGTTGTTATCTTGTAGATATCTTTAAAGCCTCTACTCACCAATAATAGCCACAGATAAAATGTTGACAAGAGAGAACAACTCGGCTTGACCGATCAGCTCAGAGCCCGCTTGTTTCAGCACTGAAATCGAGATTGTTAGAAGAGGGAAAGATTTAAGAGCTAAATCAATCAAATCTCACCAGCTCCCCAACAGAAAACCGAAGCCGCCACCGGATCATCCTCGCCTTCTTTTTCCCATTCTGGTGGCCAATATTCACGCGAGATCTTCTCAGCGTTAACTGTTTCAAACTGAAATTGAACTTTGTAAAGAGTAACTTATGAAGACTAACTTTTCTTATGTCTTTTTTTTCTTAATCAGTTTTGTACCACCAAAAAAACGATCAGTAATGGCAGCAAATCGAGTAGTATTTCAATACCAGTAACTCTTGTACTGATAACAGTAGGAAATGTACTTTTTAATTACTGTTACTCGCAAGGGATACTAAGCTTGGTTTTGGTTTTGTTTCTGTGTTCTGTTACAGTTTAGAAGCCATGAGCTGTACCAGACAAGAGCTGTACTAGACAAGAGCTATACCAGACAAGAGCTGTACCGGACAAGGGCTGTAGCAGACAAGAGCTGTAGCAGACAAGAGCTGTAACAGACAAGAGCTGTACCAGACAAGAGCTGTACCAGACAAGAGCTATACCAGACAAGAGCTATACCGGACAAGGGCTCTACCAGAACAAAGCAAATGGATTATGGTAACTGATGCTGAAAAAAACAACAATTTGCCTCTCTTTATTTCACCTCAATCTGTCCTCGATTATTGATGAAGACGTGATCGATATCAAAGAGTTGTTTCCCTTTTTGTAATGGAGGGAGACGTTCAGCAGCCAAAACAGTCAACGCAAGCAATTCATTTGAGTCAAGGCCTCCATCCCGAACCTCGATCACCTAAAGAAAACCATTGTAAAGTATAAATAGAGATTTTATCTAGCTTTTGTTCTATTCTCTAATAACTTTTGTTCTAATCATTTCCTCTTTTCTAATCTTTCCCAACTCACATCAGAAATTGTGATTTTCACATCTCCCATTCTTTCAACCACATTCAGTGGTCTCTGAAATGGAGATTTTCTGTAATTTGTATTAAAATAGCAAAGCAAAATAGCAAAATAGCAAAATAGCAAAATAAACAAAAAGTGAAAGCATTTTAATATATAAAGAAACAAGGGGGGGGGACAAATGCGACCTTTTTTTTGCGCACCTGGACATTTGCGCACCTTTTTTTTTGCTGGAAAAGGCCTTAGGAAAGGTCGTAGAGCTTCAAAAATGTTTTCATGGAAGGGAATCGTATGCGTAGATTCAGAATTTTGACAAATCAGACCTCGCTGACACGTCAAATTTGGGCTAAAAGGCAAAAACTATGCAACTTAACGCTTTTCCGCAGTTTTTGCCTTTTAGCCCAAATTTGACGTGTCAGCGAGATCTGATTTGTCGAAATTCGGAATCTACGCATACGATTCCCTTATATGGAAATATTTTCGAAGCTCTACGGCCTTGCCTAAAGCTTTTTCCAGCAAAAAAAAGGTGCGCAAATGTCCAGGTGCGCAAAAAAAAGGTCGCATTTGTCCCACCCCCGAAACAAGTAATTAAAGGCAAAATGATTAAAAAAACGATTTAAATAAAGAAATTGCAATAGTTTGAATCCATCGATAAAAAGATACAATTTAGTAAAAGATATTTAGCTAAAAGATATCTAAAAATTGTAAATTGAAGTACTAAAGGAAATTGAAAGTAAAAGCTTCGTTGAAAATCGTGCACAGGTGTGCTTTTTTTTGTCCCTTTTTGCCCTCTTTTGCTCGGCTGAAAATCGATTCATTTCTACGCAATGAAAATGTTTCTTTTTCTTTCTTTTTTTGATCAAAAGGAAAAAAAAGAAAAAGAAAATAAATATAATTGAAAAAAAGTAAGAAAATTTAAAAAAAATACGAGTTTAGAAGGGTTTGGAACAAGGAAAATAACTTGATTCAGGTTCAGTGCAACAGAAAAAGTGAAGTGAGTTTCCAAATTTGAAGCTACAAGTCGAATTTGCCTTATCCAACGCACTTTGAGCTCAAAATGCACCATTTTTGGCGTACTTAATTTCTTATTTTTCTTGAAGCAATGGTTTGTTACAAGGAAAAGTTTATTACAAAGCTTTTGTGAGAGAAAAAGGGTATTTTTGGATAGATTTTGAGCACAAAGAGTACACCCAAACATTGAGAATCTTTAGTTTAACAACAATAGCTTATTTTAACAAGTAAATAGCTTATTTTAATAACTAAATAACTTATTTTAACAACTAAATAACTTATTTTAACAACTAAATAGCTTATCTTTTACTTTATTTTTAACTATGCTGTAACGATTACAAAATCAGTGGAAATCTAAGCCACCAATTGGGAGTTGGTAATTTGAGATCTCTTTTTCACACCATAACTAATAGATAAACGCCAAGAATTGCTCTTTTCGTGGATTCTTTGTACTTAAAAAATGTGAAACAAAACCCTTTCTATTGCATTGAATTTCTTTTAACAAATCATTGAAAAAAAAATAAGTGCGATTCAGTGCGCCAGATGGAATGTGTTTCTAATTACAAAGTATTAGGCTGCCCAGAAAGTCTTTTCGTTCCTTTTCGTATTTCTGTTTAAAACCAACAAATGCATCAATTGAGCTACGGTTTATTTCATTAGAAAGGCTAACTATTTTTCTGCAAAATAACATTAAAACAGGTTTTAAATGTCTTATGTCTGGATTTTTTGGAAGCTTTGAAGTCGGGTAGTCAAATCAAGAAAAAGAACGAAAAGACTTTCTTGGAAGTGAGGAATAAAGTAATACAGAAAGTAATACTGAAAAGTAATATAATGAAAAGACTTTCTAGGAAGTGAGGAACAATAATTTTAAAACCAAATCAATTCCAATATCAGCTATCCGTTAAAACTTTTCCCAAAAAAACCCAATAATCGAATGTTCTGGCGGTGATTTGAGAGATGTGGAATGTGAACGATTTGTGAGAGAAGGCCTGAGGGGAAAGGAAAGAAAGAAAGAAAGGAAGAAAGGAAGGAAGAAAGAAAGGAAGAAAGAGAAAAGGGATTGAATGAGAGAGAACCAGGTCATGAAGGAGAGAACGATCAAAAAAAGATGAAAGGGGGAAAGAGACAAGGACACATTCATTCATCCCTTCTATGGATTGGAGAAGGATTGGGTTGAAAAATGAGTGTGAAAAAAGTGTGTGAGTTCGAGAGACGATTACCGTGCGATTACCGTGCGTAGACAGAAGACTGTTGTAAATCAAAAATTTACATTTCATTTGTCCGCATCTGTTAAAACTTCTTTTCTTGTGTCCTTTTGCAGCTGATTGTTATTGTTTCTTGAGCTTTTTTTGACTGAATTTTAAGAATTCATGGCTAAAAATGAGAAATTTTTATTTCAAGCTTCGATTTTTGAATTTTACGACTTATCAGATTCATTTTCGCTAAATTTTAACTAAAATTTCTCATTGTTAGCCATGAATTCTTCAGTCAAAAAGCCATTTCAGTCAAAAAGCTCAAGAAACAATCATAATCAGCTGCAAAAGGACACAACACACCATATTGGAACCATATTGGAACCGTATTGGAACCGTATTAGATCAAAATAGGAACCGTATTAGATCAAAATAGGAACCGCATTAGATCAAAATAGGAACCGTATTGGAACCGTATTAGATCAAAATAGGAACCGTATTAGATCAAAATAGGAACCGTATTGGAACCATATTGGAACCGTATCTGAACCATATTGGAACCATATTGGAACCGTATAGGAACCGTATTGGAACCATATTGGAACCGTATCTGAACCATATTGGAACCATATTGGAACCGTATTGGAACCGTATTAGATCAAAATAGGAACAGCATTAGATCAAAATAGGAACCGTATTGGAACCGTATTAGATCAAAAAAAGAACCATATTGGAACCGTATCTGAACCATATTGGAACCATATTGGAACCATAACCAAAATCATTGACTAATCATTGACTAGTCATGACTAAATTAGCTAATCATTGACTCAATGCATTGATTGATTGGATAGAACAATAAAAGTCAAATCAAAACAAAAAAAATGTTAAAAGATGAAAAGAAAAACCATTGAAAATCATTTGATTTCTCATCTTTTCCCCTTTTCTTTTCCCCATTTTTCCCATTCCCCACCGAATAGACGCCTCAAACAATTTATATAAACAAAAAAGCCCGATTTCTCTCTTTTCTCATTGATTTATTGACGATGTGAGGGTAAAGTCGAGTTTTGTTCGATACAACTTTTATTTCATTTGAACTTATAGAAGAAAACAAGCGCTCCAACTTGCTAGTAACTGTAGTCAATCTTCAACGAGTTGTTGCAATGAAATAAATCATGCACTAGCTGGTTTACAGAAAACTACAGCTTACAGCAGAAAGCAACCGATTCTATAACTCAAAATTGACCTCTCATACCTAATTTGCATTTAAAAACCGCCTTCAATCTAATCAAAAATCAAAAACCAATCTAAAATGTATTACACATTTGTTAATCTATATTATTTGTTCATCTATTACGGGTTTATGCAAGGGTAAATTACGATAAAGTTATGTATAATAAGAATTTGTCATTTCTAAAGTTAAATTTCCGTTTCTACGAGTCATTTCTCTACCAGAAGTGGTAGAGAATGACTCGAATGACTGAAAACACATCCAGAAGGGATGTGTTTTCAACAAAAAAATACAACTTTTGGTGAAAAAAAAAAGTGATAAAAGATAGAGATTGTATTGAATTTTGGAGAAAGATTGTACTGGACAGTTGTCGGGAGTGAAAACTGGTTTATAATTCGAGAAACTGGAGAAGAGAGAGAGGGGGAATTGGGTGGGAATTCGAGGAGAACGATTGCAGAAACTAAACAAAAAGGATTTCAGGATTAGAAACACGATAAAATAGTGTCAAAGGTGGATACAATGATTCTTGATATAGCTATATAGCTTTAAGATCTAAAAATGATACTACGATCTTCAAATAATAAAGTTTGCTTTAAAATCAATATATGGTAAATATATGGTCAATTTCTCACACTCCAAGAATTGGGGTGGGTCTGCTGGGGAAAGAGGGCGAAGAAAGATCCGTGATTCACCCAAAAAATGACTATAAATTGCCTTTTTTTGGGAAAAGAAAGAATCCACCTTGCAAAAGAGAGCTGTAAAAACATTAGGAAGAGAAAATGCTGTGGAATTCTAAGAAAAGTTATTTGAAGCGCTCAAAAACAAGATTCAAAAAGTCACAAATGGATCATTTAACAGATTTAGATGTCGTAGCCTAAAAAGCTAAAGATTTTAAATCTTTAAGACTCCAAAACTTGCCTAGTTAGTAGAATCTTGGGGTCAAGTTCAATTGTTTTACAATCATCACTTATTTAGAGGTCAACTCAATTTTGTGCAACAGTAGCAATCACTTAAAGTATTTGCTTTTGTAGGTTAAAACGAAGAAAAGCTATAGGTTAAATAGAAGCTATAGCTATAGGCTAAACTTTAAAACTGGAGAAATATTGATTTTTAGCTTTTATCAATGCATAGAGCTTAGAGCTTAAAGCTTAAAGCTAAAAGCTTAGAGCTAAAAGCTTAGAGTTTAGAGCTTTGTTAGAGTTAATTAAGCAATTTTATCAGTGACTAATGTATCGAGAAAAACACCAAAAAAGTATTCGTAATGTTGACTGATTGAATGAGTCAATGAAGAGAAGAGAACTGATTTGGATTGATTGATAGAGTGAGTGAGAGATGAAGAGGGTCGGTGAAGGGATATTTGCATGAGCTGTCATCGAACCAAACATAGACATTCGTCTCTTTTCGATCGATCGATCGGGGAAAAGCTTCAGAAACTGTATAGTGAATCTATTAGATCAAAAATTGCAATAATGTTTGAAATTTCTTGACCAAGGAATACTGGCTCAAAATCGTTACCAATCATGGCAACAATGCAAGTCAATTTCCCTTGATTTAGCCCACTGTAGCTGGCTATTGCTGCCTGAGTTTGACTTAGCCAA